ATTTTAGAGGTTTGTTTGCATTGAATTTAAGAAGGGTACACCTCTGAATGGAGCACACCACCTTTGCTGTATTCCTCAGTGCTGCACTGGTTTTGCTGCACTCACAGTTAAAAACTATCTTAGAAAACACAGTCTTGAAAAATTACTAATTTCACCAATAAGAACTGAAGCTCAGAGACTAAGTAACTGATCCAAGATTATAAGGCAAATAAATAATGGAAAAGCCCAGATTCAAAGCCAGGCCTGGCCAACCCCTAAGTTCTTTTCCACTCTATTGTTCCTTACCTTGAAAACTGTATTAGAGCCTAACCTGGGGATGAGAGGAACTCCCAGAGAGTTTATTCTCTGAGAGTAATAAGGTCCTGTGTCACTTAATTTCTACACTTGATCTTAGCCAAAAGGCCGAGAAGCGATGTGTGTCACTTAATTTCTTTCGAACCTCATACTCATCTATAAAATAAAGTAATAAATTATGAACTCCCCAGCATTCCTTTTAGAGTCTTAGTTTTTTAAAAAAAATTCTGGGGCCTCCATGGTGGCGCACAGGGTTAAGACACAACCTATGAAGCTCTCCACAGCCACTGCAGCACAAGTTCAATCCCCGGCAAGGGAGCTACCCACATGGTGCAGCAGCCCTCTCCTGCCTCGCCCGCTGCTCCCCTCAGCAGTGTATTTCAGTCAGTCTGCCTGTTCTGTTTCCCACTCTGTCTCTGGTGAGTCCTCTCACCCCCCACACCTCTGGCCTATACCCCAATTCTTGTATACATAAATAAATCTTTTTAAAAAAAATTCTGTAACTGCTAGCTTTTCCATTTTCAACGCAAGGCATCTGAGGCCAACAGAGGTTAAGTACTTGACTGAGGCTCACACAGCAGTTTCCTGCTAACACCGACATGAGAACCTGTTTCTCCAGTTCTCAAGCTTTATGTTCCCAGTGACTTGCCCTTCATACCAGGCTCAGTGTTTTCTTTTGAACCCCAATAGCCTTAGCTGCTTACTTTGTAATGATTATCTCTCTGAAACATTTTGAGGAGTGTAGAGTCTGGAACATGTAAAAGCCTCTTTATCCATCAGAATACAGTTTGACCTCCATTTGCTTCCAGGTGACCCAGTGAAATGGGGGAGACCCATCTCATTTACATAATGAGAAAACAAACTCAAAGAATTTGTGCAACTTCATGACTGTGCTGATAGCTGGTGGAGCAGGGCTGGAGGTTGCCTGGCTCCCACCCCAAGGGCTCTTCCCCACTCCTCACACTGCTCCTCACTGGTGCACCAGAGCCGCCCCCTTTGCCGTATTCTTAGCATGAGCCACTTAGCAGTAAACTGTTGGGATATGTGTGCATTTTATATTGTCTTTTATATTTTGCTTTTATATCATTTACTCTGTATAGTAACCAGAGAGCACAGGGGATTTCCATTTTAAAAGGTATTCAGAATGCAAAGGACTTTTTCCTGATCCTCCTCCTTGTGACTGGGACTCAGCTCCAAGCTGCTGTGCTTCTGCCTCTGCCCAATACATGCTCAGCTTGGTGTGAGGACACTGGCACAGCTCTGGCCTCAGCAGTGGCTGGGCCCTAATGCTCTGTCTTTGATAAGAGACGGAAGACTTGGATTCTGGCTTTGGGCTGGCCCCTGTCTCTAAATATATCTATGCACTTGAGCAAGTCTTCCTTCTATTAACTTCGTGTTACCCTGTAACATGAAGGAATTGAGTCACATAATCTATAAGGCTGTTGTGTTAGGCTCTAAGATCATTTTCTAAGAATACCATCCATATGAAAGGATAATCTTTTAGAAATGAATGTGCAAAATGAAAGCCTTTCTAGTTCTGAGAAGAATACTCCATAATGACCATGGCCAAGAGGTAGCCTGTAGGCAGTAGGCTTTCTGGCACATCTCGGGGTCATGTACTGAAACACAGGAAACTGATGCACTTGTTTCTCCACATGACTCCTGGGCATGAGGTAAGTCTCATTTGTCTGGGGAATAGGTTTTCTTCCTAGAAAATGATGACCAGCACAGTTGCCTGAGTGACCCTGCAGATCACAGCCGACTGACCGAACACGTTGCCAAGGCTTTTTGTCTTGCTCTCTGTCCCCACCTGAAGCTTCTGAAGGAAGACGGAATGACTAAACTGGGGCTGCGTGTGACACTTGACTCAGACCAGGTAAGAGGAGTCTTAGGCAGCCTTTGAAGCTGGCTTTGGGTTGTCTGTGTTTTTGGCATGTGAGTTTTCTTGCATCAACCTGGAGATCTTAATTTGCTGCATCTCTGACCTGGTCAGGTGTAGTATTCCCTCAGTGATGTGCTGCTTAGCTTCTCGGCCATTTGAACCTGTGTTTCTTCACCTGAAGGTCTTGTAAGGACTTGGTTTTACTTTTAGTGTGAGGTGAAGGAACAGGTGTGTGTGTGTGTGAGGACCTGCTCCCTGCCTGAATGATGCTGCTCTTTGAGACCTCCCTAGACCTCCCCTTCAGGAATCACTCTGGTTCCCTCAGAAAGCAGCCCTCAAGCTGTCCTGTTTTTTGTTTTCTCAGTTCGACTGTAGCAGCTTTCTGCTGACGACCTCTGTCTTCAACGTGTATCTTACTGTCAGCATTTCCCTGCTAGTTAATGGACAGGACTTGAGCTATTTCCCTGTGAATTCTCCTGTCAGCTGGTCTTCTATGACCAGGTTCCTTCCTTGTCTGATCTAACCTATTTTGATACTATTTATAGTAACAATCCAGTTGTAACAGTGCCCCCCTATACACACACATTCCCTCCCCCAATTCCTTGGCCGGGTTTGTCTGTCTGTGGCCTAGTATTCTAATTTCTTTGAGATTTTGGATCCTGGATTCTATTGTTTGTTTTGATTCAGAGCTTTGGCATTATCAGGGAAAAATGTGAAAAGTTAGGTATCTGGCTCTGTTTTCTGACTGGTCATGAATTAATCATTTCTTTTCTACTTATGTCTTGCCCAGTGCTGTACTAAGCATATCGGGACAATACAAATGAAGTATCATGGTCCTTTCTTGAGTGGTACTGATAATATGACTGGAAAGAATTACCTTATAAAAAACAAAGAATAGTTTATTTTTCCACCAAGTGTGTTAGCTCTGTGAGGGCAAGAGCCCTGTTGTGTTTATCCTCAAAGCCCTGTGTCTACAGTGCTCCAAAATAATGTGTGGATGAAAGGAAGGATGGAAGAGCAAGTGTTCATTTCCTGCTATGGTAGTACCTGGTGTATTTCTCATTTTAATTTTCACAGCCAAATGTTTAGTTATTATTTTGACATTCCCTCTCTCTCTATGCCACCTTCATGCTCCCCTGCCTTTTTCCTGGGAAGCTAAGACCAAAACAGGTCCTTTAAACCCATTTTGCCCAAGGTCTAACAACTACCAAGTGGCAGGGTCAGGATAAGTGACAGGGTAAGTAACAGTTCAGTGAAAAGGAGAATTTTGTGTTCACTGCTATTGACTAGCCCCTGGCCAAGAAGATCTCCTTTCCTGTCTAATCTCCTTCACCCTCAGTGCTTTGGAAAGATCTCTGTCCAGTAACCTGTCATCCCCTTCTCTCTGTGGTGTAGGTTGGCTACCAAGCAGGGAGCAATGGCCAGCCCCTTCCCTCACAGTACATGAACGATCTGGACAGCGCTTTGGTGCCGGTGATCCATGGAGGGGCCTGCCAGCTCAGTGAGGGCCCCATCGTCATGGAACTCATCTTTTATATTCTGGAAAACATCGCATAGGCAGAGAGGACTTCATTTTTTTCTGTTCAGACCTGTTGCCACAGCAGTCATACCCAAATCATTTGCACTTTAGAACTGGAAGATTAAGCTTTTGTTAACACTATTAATGGGGGTGGGTGGGTGGGAATGGGGGGTTGGGAGGTAGGGGTGGGGAAGGGTGGTTGGGGGGACAGACGTTCCATAATTCTAAGTCTCCTATGCATTGTCCACCAAGAAGATCTGGGCAGCTTCTGTTACTGCACAACAGTTATGCTATCCTTGCAGCTAATCCCCTCTGTTAACTGTTTAGACAAGAATTCTGCTCCTCTATTTTAAGACTTACCTATGGTTTTGTGCTCAGAAATGCTCAAATGGGTACAGCCATCACCAAGGGTGGGGAGGGAGGGCAGAGGGGAAATAAAAAATGAAGCATCAGTTTTGCACTCTCTGTACAGAATTGATATAAAAAGGACAACTCCACACCAGTCATGTCCTAGTTGCATCAGTGTCTTCAAGTAGACGTCACTCTTAGATTTTTTTGCTTGTTTTTACCAGATTACTCATCAAATTGAATCGAAGACCCAAGGATTATTTTTCTATCCAAGGTAAATGGTGTCAATAGTCACTCAGATAGCAGAGCCCAGCAGGGTGGCTCACCATTCACCAGAGTGAATGGCAGATGTGAATTGGGCCTATCTGTGAAAGCTCACAAAATACAACCAAGATATTTTTAGTTACATACACCAGAGGTATTTTAAAATACATTTTATAGCGAAATTACTTCCAGGAGGGTTGTAAGTACAGAGAAATCTGAGTATGCTTTACGCAGAGTCACCCATTGTTCATGTATTTGTTGCCACATTTGCTTTTCACTGTTCCTTTCTCCAAAAAAGTGAGGCAGTTGAGTGTATATGGCATACATCATAGCTCTTCATACCTAAATACTTTGATGCCGTTTCCTAAAATCCCACAGGATGATTCTCAACCTCACTTAAACCTTGGTCTGACACTTTAACTTAGCATCTGTCTGGTAATGTCCTCCAGCAAAGCTTCCAGCCAATGATCTGATGTGGTACATAGCTGTCATGACTTACTTTTATGTCATTGATATTTTTGGTGAGTAGTTTCTGCCACGGCCCTTTATGTTTTCATATAAAATACCTCATTTTGGATTTGAGTGATGTCTCCTTATAACTAGAATCAGTGTATGCCTTCTTGGCCAGAGCTCTACCTAAGTGATGTGTCCTTTATAGAGCATTTTGTCTGGGGTCACTTGGTACCACATACCTACTCACTGATGATGGTGAATATTTTAAGTGAAAAAATGAGGGAAACAAACTGAGCTTTATACTGGTTTACTGAAATTTGGAAACAATTTTTTTTTTTAAAGATTTATTTATGCACACAAGAGCTGGGGTATAAGCCAGAGATGCGGGAGGGTGAGAAGATTCACCAGAGACAGAGTGGGCAACAGAACAGGCAGACCAACTGAAATACACTGCTGAGGGGAGCAGTAGGCCAGTCAGGAGAGGTCTGCTGCACCAAGTGGGCTGCCCCCTGGCCAGCGGGGCTCGAACTGCTGCTGCAGAGGCCTCGATTGCTTCATAGTGTGGTGCCCAACCCCCTGCGCCACCAGGGAGGCCCCAGAAACAAATTTTTTAATTTGTCCTCACTAAGCTGAAAATCACTAGCCACCATCTCAAGTAATGTAGAATATCTTGAATTCTGCAATTCTAAAAATGATGATTTTGGATTTGCACGGCTTTTCTATAGCTTGCCTACTATATTAGAATCCAGGAATATCTACCGTGAAAGTCAGACTTTTTCTAAGGAACAAGGTGTTTGTGCAAGCTCCTCATGTAAAAGTCACAACAGAAAAATCTAATGCTAGAGACATTAAATTAAAAAATGTATATGCTTGTTTTCTCTGTTGTAGAAGCACCTTATGTTAGAGTAAGTAGTTTCTAAGGAACTCTAGACTCCAAGGTATGTTATCAACTTCATTTGTTTCTTTGGGGGGTGACTTCCACTTTGGTAACCACCTCAGGTGTTCTTACTCAGCACATTATCACGGTGGTGGTGAAATCATTACCAGTGTTTGATTTTCTAAGAAATGGTGGTGGCACATTTTGCTCATCTGGTCAAAATGGTGTCCAATTTCTCCAGTGTATTTTTCCTGTTGGAATTAATAACCGGTATATGTAGACACACTTTCAGAACATGCAAATGTCTTGTTCATCAAAATTTCCCCTTAGATTTAGCATTCAATGGTGTTTTTTGTGTGAACTGCAATTTTATTTATGGCTACAAAATGAATTTTCACTTCCAACACTCACCACCTTTTCCAATTGTACTTGGTAATCTATAAGCAAAGGCCCTTCTTCCATTTTTAAAAATACCTTTAAGTAATGGAATTTCATTATGGACTCATGAATGGTCCTAACACATCATTTTGGTGCTCAAGTGGCCTCAGCTTTGGCCAGAGAGCACCGCTTTGGGCTAAGCCCTAAATCGCTATAACTGCTCCTATCATTTTTTCAAGTATTTCCTTTTCTGATCTGACAGGATGCTCTTGGCTCATTGTGCTTATTACTCTGCCCCATCATTTCTCCAAAGAGCCTTGGTTTCTCACTGCAGGTGGTATCAGACATCAAAATTTGATTTGCTCATGATATATGTGATGCATTGTTTTCTCTTCCATCAAATATTTATTTTGATCACAGACCACACAGATTTCTCAGCCTGCAATTTGAGACAACTCACTCCCTTGTCACTGGTCAGTCCCTCTGCAGTAAGAGCACAGTTCTAAGAATCCCCGGGAAGCTAATGTAGGCCTCTAGGAATGTGAGAGGCTGCTCCCCAGTGGCTAGAGCTGGGCTTAGCACCTAGCAATTATGGGCTACGGAAGGGTAGCAGATGTTTTTCAAATAGGCCCAAAGCCCTGGCCTTGGAAGTATGTCTAGCTAGGGTTATACCTCTTTTCCATGGTGGTTGATCCACATTCTACATTTGCCTTCATAGGCCTTGCTAATGTGGCTTTAGAGAACTGGGACTGTGACCTTTTCCTAAAAAAAAGTCCACAAAACACCAGCTTGTTCAGACTGAACCATTGGACCACTACCCCCAAACCTGACGGGATCAGGAAACACTTGTTGATGAGCAGGTATTTGGGGTTTGCCATCCAGCTTGCTCTAACAGGCTTTCATAGGAGCTGGTTCCATTTTTCTACAGATGTTTACTTCCCACTCAACTAAGTACATCTTGGAAATGTATGTATTTCTTCTGGATCAGTGCAAGCGTCTCTTGGCCCTTGTAGTAAGGTCCCTTCTCAGTTGCATCAAATCTTGATCATCTTGTAGAACTGGGCATAAAATAGCCAAGGCTAGTTCCCTTCATTTTGTTTGTTTTTATACACTGTTATGTTTTAAGAATTAAAATGCAAGGCTGACACATCACATTTCCAACTAAGGCAAATTTTTCTAGAATGTAAATGTGAAGATTGAGATAGATTCTTAAATAGAATTACTACTCTGATAACATTTTAAAAAAAGGTCTTAATTCTTACCAAATGCTAGGCAATGTCGTTTCCCCATTTACCTTTACCAACACTTTCTAAATGCCTCCTGGATGCTAGCACTTTAGAAATATGGACTTTGCCCTGTGTAAGTTCCCATCCAATGTCTTCCCTCACCCACAGTGGTTTCTGAATGCAGGTAGACACAAAATTTCCAGCTGAGTTTACGTCTATCTTAACTAGTTTTGTGGGGAATAATTTATGCATTTAGCACATTTCAGACGAGCAGACTGATGAACATTTTCTATAAATTTGTGCTATTATTTTCTATTTTAATAATAATGCTAAAATAAATGTAATAATGGTAAGGGAATTTTTAGGGACTATATATGTAGGTCAGAAGGGCTAAGAAATATAGCAGGAATGGTAACACAATATTTTTAGAGCTTGCAAAACTGAGGCCTAGATTAGTGAAGACTTTGTGATGGAGCTGAACCATGTAAGCTCCAGGTTAAACCAGTCTCAACCAGTTTCATCCTTAAAGCAGTTACCTCTGGGTAAAGGGCAAGATCTTTTAGAAGCTGCCCAAACATATTTGAGACATGAGCACTCAAAATTTGGAAGCCAAACAGAGCAGGTTTCAGAATGGCATTACAAGAAAGGAAAATGTTAAAGTTGCAGAGTAGTTTGTACTTTAGCGGTAAGCTACACTTCCTGATTATAAATTTCTTCCATATTTTATTGCGTTAACTAATTTAGAATAAAGTGTGCCTTGTATTTGTTTGAAAAGAGAATTTAAAATTTAAGAGTGATTTGAATTGTGGCAGTTCCCAACTGCCCAAATCACTAACCTCTGATGTCTGGCTGTTATTATTTGGACAAATCTTAGGACAAGAGGAGGCTGGTGCAGGCTCCGCCCACTAGTGGGATCCCTGCACACTCTGGCTACAATAAAGGCCTTTTAAGAACCTCAGTCTCCCAAGTCCAGTGGGCGGTTTTGTCTTGCCTCCCACAGCCTGGAGTTGTTAAGCAAAAAACTATGATGGAGACTGAAATTGAACAGGTTATGAAGGGAACTCTTTTAGAGTCCCAGAAAAATTCCTATCAAATTGTAGAGGGCATTACCAGCAGAGGCTGGGGTTTAGTCGAAATTTCTAGGCTGGTTAGAATCTTTAAGGATAACCACAGCCACCTCTAGGCATCTTCATTAAGTACTAGGCTGGGTGCCAACCCTAAGGGGGAGAATAGGTAGGGTCAGAACCTTCCTGGCTACCCATTTTGCTCTAGGCTACCTTATAAAAGCTAATAACCCTGCTTTTCATTCTAGATTACTGCTTATTTGCCACATACAGATGTGACTGCCATTGTTAAAATTCACATCTATGGAATTTTTGTAGTTCACTCTGGTAGGTAAGTAAGCTGACCAGAAAGCTCTTGGAAAAGTCATCTGACTGTCATTCCCTGTCCTGTTACCTACGAAAGCTCTGCTCCTAAGGGCAGGGAGGCATGGGCCAGACATGTTGGGGGGGCAGAAACACAAAAAGCTAAATCCCTGAGCTGTGCTTATGCAGTACTATAGTGGTCAATATGCTGAATGTATCTGTTTCACTTTGAGCCTTTAAAAAATGATCTTAAGGAATGCTTTATTAAACTTAAGTTAATGTCTCAAAACAGGAAAAAAGATATGGGTTGTTAAAAGTTTATTTCTAAGAAATGTAGAATACTGTAGTTTTTGAATATTAAATCTATTGAAACCACAAAGCCCTCCACTGTCTCCATCCATTCAGAAAAACAGAAGCCAAAGTAGCAGCGCTTGTCCATTAACAAATGTTACTGCTACTCTGGCTTTTAAAAGTGACAGGGAGCAGGGCTTTTATATAGGACTTTGATGGTTACTCTGTTTCTGAGTGTAAAACCTTTGCAATGAATCAGATCTAGTTTCTTCAATAAATAAAAATGGCTACATAAAATTATATATATATATATATAGATGTATTTCTCCCCCTCTAGTTAACAGTCTTTTAGTCGTAGGTACATGGACCAAACCTAACCACCTTTCCCTCACTCCCAGAACATGATTCCAAATGTAACTTCCCTTCCTCCACTGAGAGCGTCGGAAGCAGGGAGGCTAGTGCAGCAGCTGTCAGGAACCAAGGCACAGACAGAGAACTAGGTGGTCAGCTGAGTTATGAGGGTTAGGCTGCCACTGGCCAACTGAGTCACAGAACCTGCCCCATCCTAAGGTATGTGGTTTCCAGATCACCCTCAAGTGCTCCCATCCCATAGTTCAATCTTTTAAAGGCACATCCAGAAATGGTACAGCTGGGACAGCTGCACACAACTGCTACACGGGTTAAGGGGCTGTAAGACTCCATGGCCCGAGCACTGAGGCTGTCCTTGCCTTCACCCACGCTGAGGGGGAGGGGACCCTGGAACCCAACCTGCTTTGGTGGAGGCCCTGCATGGGGCCAGCGACAAAGAGTAGGGTGGTGGTCAGTAATTCACGTACTTAACAGGTCTTTGGTGCTTATGTAGCAGCATCTTCTTTATGTACTAAAGCCAGAGCCCGCAAAGCTGAGAAAAGTACAGTCCTGAAATTAGTGGCTGGCTTGATTCCACCGATGTCGACGACCCGCTGCACTGGGACACAAAGCATGGAAGTCAGTCTAAATTGCAGAGTGTGTAAGTAGACTTTAGAAAGCATTTCCTAAGGACAATCCTGGGAAAGGTAAGCTCCCTCCCCAGTTCCCCTGAGGAACATGAGAAACTCAGCCTAAACCCTTCCCAACATTTGTTCCTCTTTGATCTTCCTCACAAATAAGAAATTCCTATGCTTCCTCCCAGATTATGAATTTAGTACTGGGAGGGTCCTTGTGGGGTCCTGGCAGAGAGTAAGGAACAGAAGGCCCAGAGAGTTACCCATTTCACAGGCCTCTGGGCTCCAGAACCAGCCAGTTCTCGGTGACTGTTTGCACATCCTGGCCACTCAGAGGCTCCCGCAGCCTCACCTTCACCTCCAGCTTGCCCCCCGTGGACTTCCTTCCTTCTAGGACCTGTGAGGATGCCAACAAAACAAAAGAGGTAGAGGGAGGCAGCACCCAGGGTGCGCAGGAAAGGAGTGAGAAGATAGAGGGCCTGCAGTGTTAACACAGGAGTCTGTTTCATGACGTCCTGCTCAACAGCCTGCTGCCCAGTGGAGGTGGTTTTAGGTAAGTTTTGTAAAATAACATCTAAGTTTAAATAAGCATCAGTGCTCTGAAGTGGAGATGAAAAACCTAGGGTTCTGCTCAGTTCCCTCTCCTCCCCCCATGGCAACTCCCAGAAGAAATGCTCTGGCTTTAAAGTGCAGCCTGAAAACCACTGAACTCACACCACCACTGCGTGGAAGGCCAGGACTAGACCCCAGGCCCAGGATTCCTTTCCACCCACTGTGCTGCTTCCCTCCTCCTGGGCAGGACACTGCACAGCTGATGTGCAAAGCAGTGGTCAGGCTCCACGAGTCTGACCACTCTCAATGGGGCCAATACTGAGCAGGCCCTTCTTACAAATAACAGCCCCAGACTGTGAAGGCATCAGCAGAGATCTGTACCCAGCTCCGCCAGGGAACACTGAGAGGGGCTTATGTAGCAACACTGTTCATAAGCACAGGTGAGGAACCCTCACCTGTCAGAGGCAAGCGGTTATAGTCCCTGCCCCCTGTGTTCATGGAGGTTTAAGGAACAGTCTGGGACCTAGCCGCACTGCGGTGGGGCCCTTGTGCAGAGAACACCTTACCAACTTTGCATCCAGAGCTTATTTCACCTTATACTGCCAGACAATCACCCTAACCACAAGCCTGACACCAGAAACCTATGCCAGGTTGACAGCCATGATCAGACCTCGCCAGAGCTCTCAGATCCAGCGTCCTTGGGAACTTGAGCGGCCAAGAGTGTTGTGAAAGAATATAACTACTTCCTGTATGTTTCATAGCCCCCATACCGCCTCATTTATCAAGTGGCATATAGTCAACAGCACATTTACAGGAATTTTTAATTAATGAGCCTAAAAGCCCTACACTGATCATCAATAAATGCTGGCTCTTTTCTTGCCACATCCTTTGTCTTGTCCAACCTACCTCCACAATCTCGCGGATCTCACACTCATTTTCCAGCCGCTCTAGCTTCAGGTGGGCTGTACCAACCAGCTTGTCACTTCTGAAGAAGGACCTGGTGAGCCAAGAGGCAGCAAAGTATTGGGCACGGAAGGCAGGAATGAGCTGGGGGAATCCTGGTGCAGGAACACTGAGCAGTAAGGGCAACAAAAGCCACTCCTGCCCAGTCCACCTTGGCGGGATGACTGACAGGGGCCTCACCCTTTGTGGAAGATTTCAAACTTGATTCCTTTGCTTTGGATCACCCTCCTGAAGCCCCTGTGATTTCGGTTGATGTTTAATTTGAAGAGTTGATCAAATTCTGCAAGAATAGTAGAAGGAGGAGTTTGGCTCGCTGGGATTTCCTGAGAAAAGTGAAAGGCCCAAGTCTGGCCTCCCCTCTCCACCTACAATTCAAGGTGATTACCACCACAAGGTGGGAGGGCACCTGGCCTTGGAGATCTGGGAATTTAAGAGTCAGGGTTCCTGGACTCAAGTTCCATTCCCATCACCACCTTGATGAGATCCTAGCTAGGCAGGTCCCCTTACTGCTCTGAGCCTCACTTTCCCCACCAACATAAAAGATGTGCCAATATCTTTTTCTCTCAAGTTGAGTAGACCAAGTGAGATGACAGCATGCTGGGAACCACCACTGCACACAAATATGAGCATAGTGGGGGAGAGGGAATGGCCCCATGTGAGCCCGTACCTGGACAGTTTGTGTTCTTCACCACAGCTGTTTTGCTTTTTTGAGCCTGATCCTAAAGGATTGAGAAGGGAGCAGTCAGAACAGCTTGAAAATAAGTATATCGGGTCAGGAATTCTGGGTTTACAAGAAGGGACCCCATCCTATAGTGAGACCTCCCAAGGACGGGGGGAACTGATCAGAGTCCTGGAATGGGAGAGGCAGTTTAGGGGATCCCACCTCTACATGAACCTCACCGAGTTAGGGTAGTGGAATTCAAACCGCACAAAAGCATCCAAGTCATCAGGGGTCACCCCTATGGAGAAGCAGGAGCCAGGGTCAGAGGGAGTACCTAGACACCTAGCACTTCATTAGAGGGAGAGCCAGGAGTGGGGCGTCTGTGCAAGAGCCTCCTGGATGAGGGGTGTCCTAGGGCTACCTGGAGGGGCAGGGAGGTTCAGTCCGCGGACAATGATAAGATGCATTTCTGTGCTGTTGAGGTCTGCGAAGATCCTATAGCCAGGAAGCAAGAAGAAAGAGCTCAAAGTAAAGCAGGATGGTGGGGAAAAGCCGCCTCTTCCACTGCCTCCCACCTCGGCAGGCAAAGCTTATCCAGGTTAGGAGCCACACAGACCTTGGTCTGTGACACCCCCTGCCCATGCCCCACCTCTGTCTAGAGCTCCTTGCAGATGGCCCCCATGTCCTATGCCAGCCTTGGCTCCCAGCCTCTTGCCCCGGCCCTGCACGGAGCCATTGTCTCCCTTAGGCTTTGGCACCTCACAGTCTGGAATGTCTTCAACTCAAAATGGTGGCTGGGAGGGTCGAGGCCCTGGGCCTGGGCCAGCTGCAGGATATCAAGTTGCTTCTTGCGGTCCTGAGCTAATTTCTCAAACCTGACAGGGATGGGTGCATGTGTCAGCATGGTAGGGCTCATTTTCTGCTCACCTCCCCAAAAGCACCTTCCCTTGCACTTACCGGGTGGTCTCAGCCACATTGCCCTGGTGCATGAACTGCTTAGAGAACAGCAGACACTTCTGAAAAAGAGGGCCCAGAGTGACTGCGACGCCTAGGGCAGAACCTATCTTGGCAGGTATTCAAGGCCTGACTTCTGAAAGTCCCAACCTTTTCTGTAGTCACATCCTTTTCCTCCCCTAACACATACCCTGAGGTCAGTGTTCCCAAGATCCTTCAAACTGTTCTGCCTAGGTTTCTGCTGTTAAGTCTTGGCTAAAGCAAGGTTTGCTGTTCCCCAAAATTTACTTATCCAACTATCACTTCAAAAGGCAGACTTGCAGGCAGCAGTTCTGAGAAATACAATCAAGAAGTATACATAGGGGCCTCCCTGGTGGCACAGGGGTTACAGATGTAGCACTATCAAGCTTTTGCCAGTCACTGAAGCATGAGTTTGATCCACGGCCAGGTAGCTGACTGACCTGGTACAGCAGACCTCTCCTGTCTTGCCCACTGCTCCTCACTCTGTCTCTGGTGAATCCTTTCCCCATCCCCCCACCTCTGGTCTACTTCCCAGTTCTTGTATGCATAGATCATCAATCAACCGTAAAGTACACATATATGTCTACTTTTATATATACGTATATGTCTCCCCTAACAATTCTTCTAATCATCTTCAAAGGACTGCCCCCTCCACTCTGAATTCCTAACCATTTAACAGAGGACTGTTTATCATCCCATGTTATCATGGTTCAGAGAGGGAAAATGCCTTGCCCAGGGTCACACAGCCACTAAGAGGAAGAGCTAACATTCAAATCCAGGCCTACGTGGCCTGAGCAACAGACCACCAGTCTACTGACCTCATGTTGCTCCAGAAGCATTTTTTGTAGGTGTGCATACACTTCTTCAGCCTTCTGGGAGAGCCGTAGGTCTTCATGGTGAATGAGGATGAAGTCACCTTCCTCATCCGTCAAGGGTGAAGGCACCTGCCCAATTCACAAGGCCCCTCAGGGGCCCCAAAAGTCAGATATTTCTTCTATTAAAGCAAACAAATGCAGGGGTCCAAACTAAATGTTTTCCCAGCTTCTAACCTCCCATGAGGAGAACTCACTGCCTCCCACTCTAGCCCAGGCTGCTGTGATCCTCTGCCTCCTCGAACTTTGTCCTGCCCATCCAGCCTTCCCCACCCTCTCCCGAGACTGTGGCAGACAGAGGCACATGCAAAAGGCTCTTTCCCAGTTGTTACCACATCTGATCCACCTCCAAAGAGCTGCCAGTCCATATAGCACTGCCCAGCAGGCCTGCTACCCAACCCACCAACTGAGAAGCCTTGCTGCTTAGCCAAGTGGGCTCACCTTAGAGAGGTCCACAGATTGGCCGGCTCGAACCTGGATGATCTGAGCCTCAAGGCATTTGGCTACCCGCAAGTGGGCTTTGGCCTGCTCCAGGTCGTGGCCACGCTTGGCCCGCAGGGCTGCCCGCTGGTACTGCAGTTTCCGTGCCTCTAGCAGTGCCAGCTGCTCCCGCACTGAGGGGAGAGGGTACTGGTTAAAGCCGTGCTTGCCCAGGCCTTTTATTCTCCCCGCTCTTTTCCCAACTCACCAGAGGGACTCAGCGACTCCTTAGAAGTTGATGTCTTGGGCCCAGGCAGGGGCCGAGATGAAGGAACCAGAGGCTGTGCTGGCTTCTTGGCCACTGGGGCCTGGGTTGGGGGTTCATCCTACAGGCAGCCAGGAGGTGTCATACGGGGTCTCAGACTTGCCCTGGCAACTCGCACACGTGGGCTCTCCCACATATCTGCACTAGCTCACTGTGTAACCAGAGCTAATGGCTTCTCCTTAGGGGCTAGCCACAACCGCACAGCGGGAAGGTGGCTCGAAAGTTCTCTAAGTTAACCTCCCCGGCAGGAGACAGCAGGGGAATGGGGATAAAACATGGGCTCTGGAGCAGAAAGACCTTGATTTAACTCTAGCTCTGCTCATTCCTGGCTGGGTTCTCTTAGCCTAGCTTCTTTTCTAAATGGAGGAGAGAGTACCAACCTCGCCAGGCTCGCTGGCATGGGCAGCAGCAGGGCTTGGGTTTACCCCTTTCCTGCTATTTCCCACCACCAACCCCTGGAGTCTCGGACCCTCAGTCAAACCTCATCCTCATCTTCCTCTGCTGGGGCTGTATCCTCTGAGGAGGCCAGGTTCTGGGCAGCGGCTAAAGCAGCTGCCACGGCATCCTCCTCAGTGCTTACAGAGGGCTCCAGGCCCGGTATCGGCGGGAATCCTGTGAACAGGAACAGGCGGGAGGGCAGTGGCTTAGCCTCAGGGAAGCACGAAGCTGCTGTGGGCCCTGGTTTGGGCTTCCAGGGCTAGAATGGGTGGCTAGAGTGGATGCAAACATGTAGGAAAGCATTTCCTGCCCCGACCAAGCCGTCTTGTTCAAAGACCTCCATGTTAGGGTCCCCAGGCCAACCAACACTCACCAGGAGGAACAGGCAATTCAGCAAAGTCAACTTTCCGTCCTGCTCGGTGTGCTCGAATGGCATCCTGATATTGCTGCAAGGAGAGGGAGAGGGGCCTAAGGGTGGACAGCAGTCTGCAGGTTCCAGACAGGGAGATGGGGAGGAAGACTGACAAAGAGCAGCCCCAGAAGAAAAAGGACCCCAAAGCAACAAAGGTTTCAGCAAGACAGACACGCAGACTCAAAGACCAGGGCTGGCTGCAGAAGCAGAAAGCAGCCGGTCAGAGGCCGCCACAAGGCGGTGGTGTAGGAGGCAGCGGGCCCACCTTGGCAATGCGCTCGTGCATCCGGGCCTTGCGCTCATCCCCACTGCCCCGGGCCTGGACGCCAGCCTCACGGTACTTGTTCAGCCTCTGCTGCAAGGCATCCAGCACTGTCTGTGGCTCAGCAGGGGTCACTTGAGAGGAGGAAGGAGATGGCATCAGCTCTGTCTGCTTCTCTCCAGGCCCTCACCACAGTTCCACCATCCCGTCCTACCTGAGGTTGCTGCAGAGTCAGGGGTCTTCACCAGCTGTACTTGCTCCACTGCTGGGGGAACCACTGAGGGTTCCATGGAGGCCTTGGAAGCTCGTGGGTGGTGCTTCAGTTCTAGGGGACCCAAAGCACAGGTGGTGGTGGTGATGCCTGGCCAATCCAGTCCTGAAACACCTCCCCAACCCCAGCAGGTTCCCCCCTCACTCCCATACTGACCTGCAGGTGTGGGGGGCATGGCACTCAGGTCCACAGGCTGCCCTTTTTCTAGGGCCTCCAGGACAGCACTAAACCTCTGTAACAGGAAAAACAGTGGGTGTGGGCATAAGCCAGGGAAAGCCCAAAAGCCTCAGCTGAAAACAACTCAGGCCACTTCTCTCAAGCCCGGCCTGCCTCCAGCAGGCCACTGCTCTCCATCTGGCTCACAGGCCTCTGTGGGCTAGAGGTCATACCTTCCCAATCTTCATGAGCTCTCGGGCACTGTCCAGGTCTCCAGCCCGCTTGGCATTCAGGGCAGCCACTTTGTACTCTTTCTGTCGGGCCAGCAGCAGGACCCGGGGGTCTGGGTCTGAATCATGTGGGGCAGAAATGTCAGAGCTGCCCAAGAGGATGGGCTCAGGCTGAGAGGCATTGTCTGTGGAGAAACAAAAAGCCCAGAAAGGGTGTGAGGCTTAAAAAAGGGTATACCTTGGGGTCCCAGTGTCCAAAGGTCTGGTTGGTCTGAAGCCCTCTCAGAGAAGGTGCCACTGATGACAGTGGACAGTGGCTGGATGAGATGGGGGAGAGGGGCAGCCTATGGGCTCTGACCTTGGCAACTGAGACAGACTGGATGTCCAGATACCTGGCTCCACAGTGGGAGGGTCTGGGGGTTCTACATCAGGGCTACTGTTGGTTGTCTCCTGGGGGGCTGAGGGCCTCTTGCCCAAGGCCACTGGAGGTGGAATTTCATCCTCATTGATCTTCCTGCCTTTCCTCACGGCAGCCAGCTGAGATTCCAGAGTCTGAGAGCAGAAAGAGCCACAAACCCAGATAGCCAGCTTGGCCTAGGCCCTGCCTGAAAACAGGCCAGGGAGCCATCATGTTCCCAGGGCTGATGGGGAGGCCTTCCCTCCACGGCCCAATCTCCTCCTGCGCCTTACCCATAACCCTCTCCCCCGTTCCTCCCAGCTGTTCCCCAACCCACCTTCAGGCCACGCTCACAGCGCCTGGCTTTGGCTGCTTCACCGGCCTCCTTGGCACTGGCGGCAGCTTCCTGATAGTTGTGGATTCGATCCTCCAGCAGCGCCTGCAGCCCCCGAGGCCCTCCAGCCTGTGGATACTTCAGTTCAGGGCCTGGCTACTCCCTGACCAGCTAGGCCCTTGCTGCTCCCTCCCTGCAAGGAAGCTGCCTCAGAAAACAGAGCCCTTGGATTCAAGGAGGAAAAAAGAGCCTAAAAGCCTCAAGGAGAGAGGCAAAGACTTACTAGAGAGGCCAGAGGCCATGTCAGAGGCGAAAACAGGCCCTAACAATCTGCGGAAGCCAAGAAATGGCTGTGGGGGGTGGTCTGAGAGAACAGAGAGGCCTTTGAGGCCAGCCATTCACCAAGGAGTTCTTGTGCTCAGTCTCTGCTTGGGGCAGCTGTGGAAGACGGTCCTGGAAAGGGCTCTTGCAGCCTTCCTCTGCAAGTCATGCCACCAGCTTGTTATACCCGGACACAAAGGGACATCAAGCACACAGGCCCCTCCAGAACCTACCTGAGTTGCTGGGACTGAAGCTGTTGGAGCTGTCTGCCCTGGAGGGGCAATGTTTTCCCATGCCGCCTTCTCCTCAGAGTCACCCTGGCTGGCTGAATCATCACCATCCGGGGGCCCAGCTTCCTCATCGTCACCCAGCACCTCCTGCAACTCAGTCTGGGGGGAAGAGACGGGTCCCAGGAGCTTGGGGGACTCATGGCCACACACACAACAAGATCCAACCATAAAGGACCCTCTCCCCCCAGCAGTATTTCCCAAAATCAGTCACTGTGTTTGAAAATCCCTTTTGCCAAAAAAACTTCTTTAATCTGACCAAGGATAGCCTTGAAAACAGTGAACACGCCAAAGCTGAGAATGTTCCAGTGCAGAGCTCATACCAGATGAGACTAGTCTCACACTGTAGGCAGGAAAATGGGCCCAAGATGGGCAAGGCACTGACTCAACATCAGAGCAGCACAGGGACAAGCCCCGGGCCTCCCAACAGGGCTGCCCTCAGAGCCCGGGACCCCAGCCTGGCAGACGCACCAGCAAGTCTGCGTCCTCCTCCAGCCCTTCCTCCTCCTCCTCCTCCTCCTCCACATCCCGCATGCAGTCCGCCGCCAACTTCTCGATGTGGGCCATAGGCAGAGGGGCTGGGGAAGAGGGTTACAGAGGGTCAGAGCAACGCAGAAAAGGTCCAAGAGGGGCCATGGAGGGTCTCCCATCCACTGTGACAGCACCGGGTAAAAACCTTCCCCTCCATGGCCCAAGTGCCACCTGGAAACTCCTGCTCTTCCTTTAATGACCCAGCTCAAAAGACCCTCAACAGGAAACCTTTCTGGGCCCTCCAACAGCTACAAAGTGCTCCCTTCTCAGCATTTTTGCTGAAGTAGTTACTCCCAGACAGTCATCCACCCCCATGCCACGCCTTTCACATATGCAAAGATACTCAGTGTCCACTGAAGCCTCACCGTCATTCTGATAGGTAATATATTCCCGCTTGGTATTTGAATAAACCGAGAACTACCAATATTAATTAACTTTCCCAACACGGAAATCCCCAGATTCAAGTCCACACTCGTATACTCCAAAAAAAAAAAGGTTTAAATAAAGAGAGAAGGGGGAGAGATGGTTCTCCCAGACCACAGGACCCCTTCCTGGGTCCTCCCATTGTCTCATCTCAAGGGCCTATGTGATGAAATGCGATTTTCTGAGGGTTCCTGGCAAGGACTGGAAGACAGAGATCCTCTGACCCTCCCAGATCTGCATTCTCCCAATTTGGGGAGGAAGATTCTACTTACTTGACATAATTTCTGTGTATTTACTATGAACCTAATTCAGTCCCTGCTACCAGAGCCTCTGCTCTACACCAGGCCCTCACCAGGGCTAAGGACAGGGGTCTGAGTCAGTCTGAGAAAGATTGCTGCCTGTCCACCACGGGGGGAGGCAGTTCGGGGCAGGAGGTGCTCCCTATCACACAGCTATGTGGGCAGGGCAAGGCGCCTCTTGGTGGGGAAGCAGTGGGGGGCACGAGGCTAGCAGAAGGACCCGGTGATCTGGCCCGCTCCCAGCTATGAGGATGGACCCTCCCCACCACCTGCCTGACACCAAGCCAGCCCAGTGTTGCAAACTCACCCTGCCCCTTGGGTGCCGGCTTTTTGCTTGTGTTTCCCGCTTCCCCAGTGAGGGCCAGTAGCTCAGCTTCCAGGTCGCCATCATCTTCAGTCTCCTCCATCCCCAGAAGCATGTCCTCAGGGTTGAACTCCACAAAGAGCCCCAGCTGAGAGTAGAGGAGGGTTCTTAGGAACCACCCAAGGAGGTAGAGGGTGAAGCCCAGCCCAGGGCCAGATTCTGGGCTCTGAAAGGACTGGTCAATGTCTCCTTCACTGCCGGTGAAGCCCAACGAGCACAAAGGAAAATTAAGGACTACACTTCACCCCGCGAGACACTCCCGGATGACTGCAAACACCCCCAGTAAGGTTATGCTGCATCATCATTAACAATAACAGCAACAGGGGCCTCCCCGGCGGTGCAGCGGTTGAGCGCTGAGCTGTGAAGCTGCCCGCAGCCTCTGCAACACTGGTTTGATCCCCGGCAACTGGGTGAGGGTCCCACATGGCGCACAGACCTCTCCTACCGCCCGCTGCTCCCCTCAGCGGTGTATTCCAGTGTATCTGCCTGTTCTGTTCCCCGCTCTGTCTCTGGTGAATCTTCTCACCCCCCACACCTCTGGCCTGTACCCCAGTTCTTGTATGCATAAATATTAAAAAAAATGAAAAATAAAAAACATCTTGTGATCTGAGTCTATGCCCTTTACTCCACCGCATCTCTTATTTTCCTCTTTTTGGACAATGAAGATAGAAATCTCAGGATTTGAGCCCGGAAGAAATAAAGGGAGGGAATATCCCCCCTCCCCCCTGAAACTTTTGGGCAACAGCCCTTTGTCTCTAGACAGCAAAGCTCTCCCGTGGCTATAACCCTCAAATCCCAGTATCCTTGGCTGCCAAGCTAAATGGCTTAAACTAGGGACCCATGAGAGTGCAGAGACCCTCTCAGGACACACTAAATGTTAGTAGCTCTTGAACCTCCCAATTATTCCTATGAAGGTCACCAAGGCAGAAGGATGTCTGTGGTGAAACCCAGGGATTCAAGCCTCATCTGCCATGTGAGTGGCAAAGACCAACACAGGGTCTTTCATGGGCTCTACCAACTTCAAAAGGCTCTCTGGGCTAATGGGGAAGCCATACAGGTGAACTAGTTTGTCCAAGCTGTCCAGAGACCCCCACCCTCAGGCCCAGGGGTGAAGGAGGCCATTGCAATATCTGTACCTGTTTGGCAGCTGCCACACCTTGGCCACTGGTCTGCGGGCCCTTCCGAGGTTTTGGCATCTTGGCAGCCTAGGTAGCTATCTGGTGGGAAGTGGAAGAGACTCAAAATGGAGAGCCTACAGCCCCACCCCCAACCACGCTAGGGTCGTAAGGGATGGTCAGTGAACTCTCATCTCAAAGCAAGCAAGGCTCAACACCAAAGGCTGAAACAGTGACCTTGAAAGCACAGCCCTGAAGCAAGCAACCTGGGAGCTGAAAGAGATGGGGCCCACCTGTTAATGGTTTAAGGGGAAGTGTAGACACACACAAAAGCCATTGAACTGATGACAAAGGTGGGTTGAACCTAAGGGACTGAGTGGGGCAGGGCCCCACTCAGGAGAGCAGGGGAGTAATGAGGGTAGGGCACAGCTGGGGAATATTCAGGCTAACTCTGCCTTGCAACATAGTAGGTGTTTGTGGCTACTTAAGTTTAAATTTAATTTAAATAAAATTCGAAATTTAGTGCCTCTGCTAGGCACATTCCAAATGCTCAAAAGTCACATGTGGCTAGTAGCAGCCACTGTAGCCCGCACAAACACTGAACATTTTCATCGCTACATAAAGTTCTGGGGGACAACTCCACTCTGGAGAAAGCCGAGTCTGCACCGTGATTCTCTCCGTGCTCTCACCACCGCTCCTAGGACCTACTATGTGTCAGATCCTGTGCTGGGCACCGGGAGAGCAGCAATGAATGTGAGTCTCCCCCGCAGAGAATATGCACGTGGTGGGGGCAGCCTCATCAATGGACAAACACACACAGGGCCGCGCCGGGGGGCCGTGGGTGGCCTTTCATCCAGCACAGAGAAAAGGCTTCTTGGAGAAGGTGATGCCTGTGCTGAGTCATGAGGACGCTGGGAGGCGAGGGAGCCAGGGTTCCGAGCTGAGGGAGCCACCAGAAGCGGGCTCTGCGCCGAGGAACAGCCCGGCTGGCGCCCGGACACCGGACCCTCGGGATGCCTGAGGAGAAGCATGAGCCAAGAACTCGGACAAGCGAAGCAGAAACGCCAAGTGGCCGAACGGACCCCCCTGGCGCCCTAAAGGAGCCTGGGCGTTATCCTAAGGGAATGAACGCGGCAGGATCGCGTCCTCGCTCCAGAAGCATCTCCGGCCGCCGCGGGAAGGCGCGGGAGGCGCAGGGGGGCGGCCGGCGTCTCGCAACGGCCCGCGCGGAGAGGCGGGCTGCCGGGCCGGGGTGGCGCTGGGAGTGAGGCGTGGATCCCAGAGTTGGGGAGTCAAGTCAGCGGGGTTCCGAGGTTACACAGAAGTGGGCGCACGGCGGGGCGCGCAGGGCGACTCCAGGCGTCACATTCGGTGACTGGGGTGACCGGCGGGGTCGTCCGGGGGGCCGCGGCACCGAGCGGCGGGGTCAGGGGTAACACAGTCGGCCACGCCAAGTCTGCGGCTCCGGGGGCACCTTACGGGGGCCGCCGGCGCTGGACCCCGGCCCGGGCTCAGGAGAAGCCGGCAGCGGAGCGAGCAGGGGAGGCGAAGCCGGGCACCCCACTCCCACGCTGCAGGGCGCGCCGCCCTGCCCTGCCCCAGCCGCCTCCATTTCCCCGCCGTCCCTACAGCTCCCCGCGCCGGGGGGCGGGCACGCAGCATACCTCGCGGCGGATCCGAGACCAGCCCGGGCCTTCGCCCGCCCGGGACCGCCCAGGGCTTCCGCGGCCCCCGGGCCCCGGCGGCGGTGATAGAAAGCGCCCCCGCCCCCCCGGAGACGCCTAGCGCCCGGACACGTGACCCACGCCCCGCCGCGCGCAGCACGCATGCGCGAGAAGACGCGGGCGCCGCGCTCCAACAGGTGACTCGAGGGTGGGTCCCCAGCGCGCAGGCGCCGGGCGGCAGGTTGCGCGAGTAGTTCCGCCTCGCCGGCGCCAAAACAGTGGGCGCGCCCGGCTCCCGCCTCCACTCCGGGAGGCCCCAGGTCGCTGGCTCGCCGCCCGCTCTCCCCGCGCCCCGCCCGCCTCGGCGTGGGGGCGGGGCCTCTGCCGCTGCGTCCAGCCCGCGATACCCGAGTGTCCCGGGAAATGAAAAGCCGCACCGAATGCACCTTTTCCGATCAGAAGGCGAGAAGAACGCTTAACACAGGCAGAGCGCTTCTGCCTGACCTCGTCAGGAAGTCACTTTATATATATATATTTTTTTTAAAGATTATTTATGCATACAAGAACGGGGGTACAGGCCAGAGATGTGTGGAAGGGTGAGAGGATTCACCAGAGACAGTGGGGAGCAGAACAGGCAGACTGATGAAATACACTGCTGAGGGGAGCAGCGGGCGTGACAGGAGAGGTCTGCTGCACCATGTGGGTTGCTCTTACATGGAACTCGTGTGGTAGCGACTGTGGATAGCTTCATAGGCTGCATCTTAACTCCTGATGCCACCAGGGAGGCTCCTCACTTTAGATATTTTAACATCAAGCTCTTACTCCCCACCCTCACCCTGCAGTGCATTGAAATAGAGTAGAGGGGCATTATGGAGTTTTCCATCAAAAACAAACCTTGCAACGCACTTAACTCATGCTTGTCTCCTAAACTTCATCATTATTATGTTTTCTAGTTAGTAGTTTCAAGTATCTTTCAGTTTTCTTGGCATTTCACTCTTCTTACTGCTCTTGGGTGATTTCTTAAGAGACCATCCAGCTCTCTACCGGAGGTAGGCAAGATAACCAATTTTTACATATTCTCTCAGAAATATATATATATATACACATATGCATACAGGTAATGGTGTGCACACTTGTATATGTGGTATGCTACCACTAAATAAATGATAGGAGTACTCACAGAAAGTGAGAGCAAAGACCTACCATAGGAAAGGTCTTACAATGTCATGTAAGACCTTTTGATTTTACAATGTCATGTTTGCAAAAATTTCCCAAACTCTGGAAAAAGCAAATTATTTAATGGTAAATTCCAAAATACCTAACAACCATTTCCACTCAGTATACTTTGCTCCAATTCCATGTGCTTCGACAAAGGAAGTCTGGCTCTGGGAGATCACAGGTCACACTCCTTCCTGGTGAAGACCTTCACTGGTCTTTCAGTGCAAACCGCACATCATCCTGGCTGACATTGAGACGCACTCGAAGGAGCAGGTCATTCCTGCTGGGCTCCACAAGGAGGAGGCGGCAGGCGCCCAGGTGAGCACACACTGCCATGGTCTCTGACATGGTGGGGTACGACAGGCCCTCCATTCTGCACAGTGCCACGTGTTGACTGTAAACCTAAACAGAGCAAATCCAAGGTCAGCAATCAAAGATTATAAGGAAAGGTAGCCCTGGGTCTCTTATCTGATCACTTATTTCTTCTTTGGGAAAATTAGACATTTTTTGTCCAGATACTTACCACCCCAGGAGGCAACAATGGGTGGGCATAAAAGTACAGGCAGAATGCAATACTCACCACGGAATTGGAAAACAGCAGGTGCTGAATTCTGGTTCTACCTTAATAAGTAACCTAAATATAATACCCTGGGCAAGTTTATTTTACTTTTTCAGTTCTTTGTTTTTAATATTTGCATATATTGGCAAAATGTCACGTTAACATCTATCACCATACAGTTATAATTTTTTCTTATTATACAAACTTTTAATTGAACTTTAGTTTCATCTGTTAAAGGTACTGCCACATCCCTCATAAGTTAATGGACATAAAATGTGTGGTAACTGTCACTAGTCTCCAGGGGCTGAGAGTTCCACAACTAAATGTCATAATTCAAATAAAATTGTGCCACAATGGCATTTTCCTTAGCAGATACAATGGGCAGGTGCCAATACATGACCCTTGGAAAACGACAAAAGCCTAGAGAGAATACTGAGGAGAGCTGGAAACTTTCCTGTCCGAAAGCCCTCTGACAGTGAGGCAGCCTGTAGCACTCCCTAGTCTCTATTCTAACTATTTGAAAATCTTTCCCCCCACCAGCACCAAGACTGAGTGGTTGTCAGGAGCAGGGAGTTTAATCAGTTCAGCCTGGGGTTCCTAGCACACACCACAGATAAAGGTATATTGTAAATATTAAGAAAATATTTAAAAACTTAAACAAATGTCACTCTTGACAAAAGAGTGGTATAATGCTATAGAAGGAGAATAATAAATGAGCAAAACATGACCAGCAACTAAATGTTAAAAAAAGAATTTAAAGAAGTAAAAATAAAATAAAGGAAATAAAGACATAGTTGATAGGACAATGTTTTACTAACCTTTTCATTTGCATGTCTAAGACACAAAAGCATGCGTGCGCACGTGTGCACACGTACACACACACACACACACACACACACACACACACACACTCTTCCAGACACATAATCAAAGCCTTTAACAATTCATTTTCTAAGATAGCACATTACCTGTGGGCACCAGTTTTATTATAAATAAACCGCTATTACACAGACCATAATGATTTCATCTATTCAGTATAATTGAAACTTGTGTTCTCTGCCTGACTGAATTAATCTTTGTGATTTGTTTTTTAAACAAAATTATTCTGAGAGCCTTGCCCCCACCTACAACATAGCTGTGTTAGGGTAGTAACTTTTGTCTTGTTCATCTTTGAATCTCCAACTCCTGTATCAATGTCTGGCAAATAGTAAACCTTCAATATAATATGCTGAACAATTACAAAAGTTCTCATGCAATAAAAAATATTGTATAAAAATAGATGCTAGCCTGATATTATTTATCACAATCAGGTTGGCACAAAATAGAAAGTTTTAAAATCTAGGGTTAAAATAAAGAGATGAATTACCTGTTGAAATGTTGCTTCCTCCAATCCTGATCGACGGAATTCAGCAAGGATGGCTCTCAGGAAGTTCTGTTCCAGAACAGAGGAATTTCTTAAAGAAAAGAAGATGTGGATTCTCATTAGTGGCTGTGCCATCACACCAAGGGAAAGTCAATAAAGCTTTTCTGTGTCGTTGGAAAAGAGGGAGGAAAGACTGTGAAAATTTTATTAAAATATATTATTTGACAAGGCTATCCCCAGCTCCCAAAGTCTCAAAATGATGTGGAAAATTCTTTCACTCTAAAAGTGAAAGAATCCAGTGATTTCATCTGGAAATGTGCCAGGCACCCCCATTTCATGAGCTGAGTATATCATTCAGTGTGGGAGAAGTAGTAGCATCTTCCTTTTTCTTATTTCCACTAGGTAATTAAATAAATGGTAATTATTCCTCTGTTATACCAGAGTTACATTTCTGTCTCCCTGACTAGACAGTGCCCCTTAAGAAAAATAACAGTGTCTTCAGTAAAGGTGGGTTGTTGAATGAGTAAAAGCTCTGAAAGAGAAAACAGTTTCTAGGGCCATCCCAGACTGTGCATGTCTCCAGTGGTGTCTCAAGAAAGCATCTTACTTGATGGCAGTGATGTATGGCGATGAAAACATCTCCTCCACTGCTTCCAATAGGTGGGCTACCGTGACCACGCCAGGGCAGTCGGGTTTCTGGTGTGAAAACTCACAGATCTCTGTGGCACGCCTACAAATGTCCAGGCAGCGTCGTGCATCTCCAGAGAGGGCTGCTACCTACAAGAGGGAATATTTAGTTCTTTGAGTTTGCCTTGTCCTCTCCGTCCAGAAAAAAAACTCAACAGATTGTGTGTTCACCTGAAAACAAAAGGCAGCACTTCAAATGGATTTAAGCCTGAAGTCTTGGCCCTGGCTGGGAACCTGGTAGAAGCCCAGATATAAATTATTACACTATACCTAGGACTGTTCCCTGAGTCCAAGCCCTTGTCTTGGTTTTACAGATAACCTGACAATGGAAAAGGCGGAAAAAAAAAAAAAAAAAATCCCAACTCAATTTAATATTAGGGAAATGAAATCTAAAAGATTCTTTTTTTTTTAAAAAAGATTTATTTATTTATTTATACAAGCACTGGGTACAGTCAGAGGCGTGGGAGGGTAAGAGAATTCACCAGAGCCAGAGCGGGGAACAGAACAGACAGGATCGAACCGGCGCTGCAGAGGCTGTGCGCAGCTTTGCAGCTCAGCGCTCAACCGCTGCGCCACCAGAGAGGCCCAAAATCTTAAAGATTCTTGACTAAAGCTCATTGTTGAACCATCGACAAACACAAGGATCTTCTTGCTTCTTGCATAAAGAAAGAAGTATGCCCTCAGAAGCAGTAAGCCAAAGGCTGAGGCAGAACCTTCTTTTGGAGATAAAGTCACAGATTGAGTCTGCCTTATAGCATATGGTGAATTTTGGAGACTACCTGGTAAATGTTAGCAGAACCAGATCAAGAGGGAAGGAAGCCACAAAGCTGAAGTACCCAGAGGATTTCTGGTTAAATGAATCAGACCAATCCACAATGGCAAAAGCTGTGCTGTTGTTCCTTCCTTTACATGTGTACAAAGGCTGAGGGACTTCTGGGCTCCCTTCAAAGGGAATCTACTACTCTCTCCCAAGCTCACTTAGAAGGTCACTTGCATTTTAAATTTCACTAAAGGAATTCTTGGACTCGCTACAGGCTCTCAGTCTCTGTATTCCCAGTGCTTGGCAGCAATCCCCCCCCATTTGCCAACGGTCACTACAGGCAATGATATTCTGTCTGACAATACCTGAAATGATTTCCTAGCAAAATTCATGTTAAGTTTAAAAGAACAAATTATATAAGCATATATATGTATACTTAGATATAAGTATATAGGTATACCTATAAGTATATATGTAAGTACACACATACGCACAAACACACACCCACAGAGGCCGCTAAGACAATAAAAGTAGTGACCTCTGGGAAGTGGGATGATAGAAGCCTTAAAATATTTTGTGCATATTTCTGTTTTCAGTATTCAAACTTAAGACATTCAAAGCACAAATCACTTTTCTAGTAACCCAAAAAATAGAAGAATCACCTTATACTCTTCCCTTCCTGTAATGAATATCTCACCACACCACTTCTGTCCTCCTATCACCATTCCTACTGCCTTTGAAGTAGTATTTTAAGAGTCATTAGTAAATAGCAAGAACCCCAAATCCACTGCAGAGGCCTAAAAATAAAGTGAAAGGGAACTGTGGGAGGGAAGAAAAACACCCAAAGCAGTTCTTACCCAAAGTGTACCTGTGAACCTCAGCAGCCATGAGCACCTTTTATTGATGGCTGCTGGGGTAAGGGAAACAGAAGCAGCTCAGGCGCTTCTGTTGAACCCATGTGCCTTTCTCTTTGGCGTATCTTTTTGTCTGATCTTTTTTTTTTTTTTTACACATGTTTCAGGAAACTATCTCGGTTCTTAGAGCACTTAATATGCTCAATAGGAACATACTCTTAGCAAAAATCTTGTCCTTTACATGTTTGTTGACAACAATGCCAGCCACTGTGGGGTAACATTATAAATACTTCCAGTTTTGCCATGGTAACATTTATGGGGCATTTCTTTTTGAACAGCGCCTATCCCCTTAATGTCTACAATACCAGCCTTGCATTTATTTGTAAATCTTATTTGCATTTATGTGCCAAAGGAATAACTTCACATTTTCTAAAAGGCCTACAGAACACACAGTGGCTGCTTCTCCTCTTTCCCTTTGTGTTGGTCATTTTGGTGACTTACTGGAAGGTGGCAGTCTCCTCTGTGAAATAATTTTGTGTTTTGGTAATTTGTACTATTTCCATAAAACTCTTTGCCCTGGATATTATCGCTCTTATAACATGGCAGAGATTTATTCTCAAGCAAGGATTTAAAAAAATACCTCTGGGTGGGGGGTTGGAAGGGACAGGGCACTAAGTGTCCAGGGGTGGGGGTATCCCTTACCAAATACAGATGGTAATCACTTGCATGCTAAAATTGGAAGATCTGTACTTTCTCTGACTCCATTCCACCTCCCCTGCTGCCAGAACACTGTCCTCTAGGAAGGACATGGAACCCTATTCTGGAAAATCTGATTATGCCAATGGGAAAGAACTAAAGATACTGAAATCTGTCCTCCTCCTCCCTACAGTGAGCCTCTCAGTGAGCAAGTCCACTCATGTGCTCAGAGCTCCCAGTCAGTTTTTGAATCTCCACTCTTACACCTGAGTGGACAACAAAGACGTATGAAAAAAAGGCTCCAATAGTAGACACTGACTAGAAACCCAAACCAACAGACAAAAGCATCTCTGAGGGAAAGGGAGAAGACATCTCAAATAAATAGGATGACATAAAAAAGGACCATTACAAGGAGAAAAAAATCTCAGAAATTACATGAAAGCAAGAGTAAAAACCTATCCAATTACATGAAAGCAAAAGTAAAAAACTAGGGCCTCCCCTGGTGGCACAGCAGTTGAGCACTGGGCTGCGAGCAGCACCGGGTTCATTCCCCGGCCAGGGGCGAGGGTGCCACAAAAAAAAAAAAAAAAAGAAAGAAAGTGAAAGTAAAAAACTATCCAATAGATCAGATGAACTCTGAGGACCTCTCTTCTACAAAGCGAAGATTGGAGACAAGCACCACATCTAGCTCCTCTCTGCAGTACCTAAGACTGTACTCAGCTGTGAGCAGGTGTTAGAGGTATATGATGATTATTCAGAGTTCACAATGTTTCAAGCAAAAAATAAAAGCTTATAATTCTTTTTAGGTGGCCATGTGGCTTTTCTAGCAGTTAGCCTGAGACAGTTAGCAGCCTCAGAAATGAGCCTGAGTTAAATCTCATTTGGCATTTTCCCAGTGAATTTAGAGGACGTAGGTACCAAGACCTCTTATCTACCATGGAATGTGTACTGTTGCCAGGCATATGACAGACATAATATTATTTAATTATCATAAAGCCCCTAAGGAAACTATTATTCCCATCTTTCAGAGAAGAAAACTGAGGTTCAGGAATTTTAAAATAACTTTCCTATAACCCAGCACATACTTTCTATGTTTTAAGAGGCAGAATTCACACCAGGTTTGTCTACCTGACTATGTTGCCCTTTTCATTATATGAAACTACCTCTTTTCTGAATCAATTAATTTTAGTTTATGTATAATTATATACAAACTATATGTAAACACAGTATTCTAAAGAATGATACAAAAAGAAGGTAAAGGAATTTTTCAGAATTTTGTTTCTACTTGTTACTTGCTTCTACAGGACTTCCTAAATTTCTCTTCATCCCCAGAGCACCAGCACAGAGCCTCATAGCCAGGTGCTCAGCAAAGATTTGCTGGCTGGTTTGTAAGTGCTATGAGCTCCCTGAAAGTGGCTTACCTTCCTGGATACCAACTGGATGGCATCATCCTCAAAGGCCTTTAAGTATTTGAGTCGGGACAGTAGAATCTGCTGCAATTGACTGTGAGTATATGGCTGGAAGGACATCCTTGTAAGACCCTGGGGAGCCAAGATAACCTAAGTAAGTTCATTGACCACCTACTAGTCCTAGTGGAAAGTCACCCTTCAGTCCCCAAACCTGATTTCCAAGTCCCATCTAACAATTTAAACATTTCATCCCAGAACCACAACTGCTTCCAGCTCCTTGCATGATTAACAGTGGCCAGTGGTATCCTGTGGGACAGTGGTTCTCAACTGTTTTTTTTCATGTAGTTTCAACGAAACTTTTATTCTACCAGAATAAAAGTAGATAGAAGCAGAGGTGCTCTCATTCGAGATGGTAGGAGACTTTTCGGCGCTACAGTATGTACAGACACAGGTCCTGGCTTCATGTGTCATGCTTGTATACACTTGATGTTGTGCTTGCTACTGAACCACAAGGTCCACAAGAGCAGAGTGCGCCTGCTTGCTCGCTGCTATAATTCACCATCTAACGCTGTCTAGCAAGGGTAAGTCTTAAGTTATTTATTTATTTTTTAAAATAAATTTTATTTTTATATTCCTCACACAATTGCAACCCCCTTATTTGTCTTAAGTTATTTTTTTAAAATAATTAAACTTCTAGGGCTCTGTGCAGTTTAAGAGCGCATAGATGGCAGGACACCAAGAAGTTATGTTTGAAAAAGTTATGCAATGGTGATATATTTAATTCCAATATAGGAATTTTAAGAATTTCAGAAATCACATTTCTTTTCCCATTTTCTCTGCTTATCAAATTGCCTCTGAAAGAGAAATTTCTATTCCTATAGAATTATTTAGACAATAAAAGCTGTGCCAGATGCTGTAGTTTTTAGTTTTCAGTTTTCTGGTTTCTTTTCACACAACTCATTGGCCAAGCTTATGGATCTGTAAAAACAACTTGAGAACAACCCAAGGACCTACCAGTCGGCTTGACACTCGGTTCATCATAATGCGCTCTGGGAGGTCCATAGTGTTGGCAATGGTTAGGACTACAAGCCGGGCCTCCTTGTGAGTAGGCCAGTCAAAGAGATTGTACATTACGTCTTGCTTCCGAGTCCAAAGAAGGTCAAGCTGTTGGGGAAACAAAGAGAAATGTAGGGGCAATCAGATACTGAGCCAAGGCATAGAGCAAAGACCTGTAACCATCTGTCAATAGACTGATACCTCTCACCACCGGAAGATGGGCTCAAATGAATGAGAAGGAGCCAGGACTTCCCTCCCACCCAATGCTTGCTCCTGGACATTATAGTTAGGAGCTCCTCCAGTTCTCCCGTGGGCACCTCCTTACTTCGTCCACAAGCAGTACAGTGGTTTCCTGAGAAGAGCCTCGAGTGCGGAATCTCTTTGCCAGAAGTTCTGCCGCATGATCTGCTGTTGCCTTTTGGCCTGTCAGCTTCTGCAATGTGTGTGTGTGGGGGAAAATAGGCATGGTAAACTAAGGATTTTACTTCCTTGGACTTAAGATTAAATCTGCAAGTAGAGGAACCTATTTAGTCTAAGGACTTCAGTATCCTATACCCTGCCTTCCACACTAGCCTGAACCTGAACCTGGAGGGCACCAAAAGCATAGCCTGTATTTGAAATGCAAGTGAGCCACAGGCAAGTTGAGGAAGCCCCTCCAAAATCATTACTACATGAATCTATAGCATGTCATTAACATGTAATATGCCCAAAGCTAAGTAAACATTTCCCTTTTCATATGCCAGGAAAGTGCACTTTCTAAAAGGCCAATCAGTTTTGCTTACCTGCAAGATTTGCACATAGACCTGGTGCGGTTCTGTCAGCTTCATGCCATTGACCTCAATGTATTGAAAAGGAGGAACATCATTTGCCTGGGCTGCCTGCTGCAGGCAGCGTATCACCTCATGCACAGTGGCAGTCTTCCCTGTCCCAGGGACTCCTGAGATGTACATGCATCTAGGACAAGAAGGGAAGTCCTGTGGGTTAGGTCTGCACCAGCACCTCACACTGTCATAAGTTAGGAATATGGGAATGTGTGCTGAAGGAAGGATGGTCACCCCTGCAATGTGGTGTGAGGGCAGTAAAGACCATCATTAGTTGGTCAGAGCAGGACCTGTTCATATAGAATCATTCAATTTAGTAGCAATGCTGTACGTAAACTGCCACTAGAAGGTCAGTTTCATTTTGTCTGAATGACACAATTTCTATTCTTATAGAATTACTTTGACAACAAAAGCTGTGTCAGAAGCTTTAAGCCTGAGCAGGGAACTTGCACTATTCTTTTGACCATATGCTTGAACTCTAACACCTGAGGTGATGTATTAATAGCAGAGACATTCTGCCCTGACCACTTCAACATGGCTTACCCTCCAGTACGATCAAGGAGTTTGCTTTCTACAAAGTTGTAGATGTCTTGGAATTCCTGTTCCCGACAAGGAAGTGAATCAGGCACAGCAGAAACATGCAGCCTACAGTTGGTGGTAAATGAAAAAGGAGGATTTTAGAAGCATTTTACCATCAACTCACTAATCTATGAAGAAGACGTGTCTAGTTCTATATGAAACCTCACTCACAGATTCAAGGGAATGCCCTCTTTCTCTAGTCTCTTCATTTGGCCTCATAAGCAAGGGTAAATATCATCTAGGGAGTTCTCTACAAATCCCATGGGTGTACCTCATCCCACAAGAGAATCTGATTCAGTTCATTTCCAATAGAATCTTGGCTTACATGTTCTAAAGGCATCCCTAGACGGTTCTAAAGAAAACCATAACTGAGAAAGTATCCTAACTAATCACCTTTAATCAACTCCCATGCCCAAGAAAATAGGGGCAGCAACTGGAAAGTTACTCCTTCAAAGTCTACTTTGGCTCACCTAGGCACATTCATTTTACTCTCTGCTTATATAATGCACATGCATGGCTTGAAGTTACTCCCATTTTATGTGACTAAAAGCAGAGGCACATGTCTGACTGTCTGAAAGGGGCCCTCGGTAGCGTCACCTCAGTCGGGCCTCCTCCAGCACACTGGCAGGCTCCTGGGCGGCCAGCTTTCGGTTGCGGATCTGGGGCGTGGCATCACGTGGTGTTCTAGGCTTGGACTATATTCAAAAAAAGAGAACATATTTCAGTAGAGATAAATTAAGCAAAACACTGTCCAGGACAAACCTAATTCATGATGATTTAATAAAAAGGAGAGGTAGTGAACTCCTCCTAGTTCCTTCCTACATAAAGTCCAGGAATCTCCTTTTCCCTCATATTACACATATGCCGTGTTCACAGTCCAAACACAGTTTCTTTTTTCTAATCTATATAATTAGGCTTTGAAAACAATGTCAATCTCTGAGGGAAGAATGAATAAAAGTATGGATTAAATACTATTTAAAAATAAAATATTATCTTGAAAGACCAAAAATTATTAAGAAATCCTAACTACTTGCTCAAATATAGGAAAGAGAAGGCAGTATAAACTGGGTTTGATTCAAAGGAACCTCCTCTAAATTTATTTGAAAATACGATCACACTTTATTCAGCTTAGGACTTCTACAATGCGGTATTTGGGGAAACCTTACCAGATCTTTTCACAACAAATGCCAGGGACACTGTTCAGTCTAAGCGAACAGCCTCACTCTCTTTTCTTCCTTGCTCCTGACTCACTAGAACAAGCCTGCCTTCATCTTCACGATGTTCCTACATGGCACTCCTCCTATGGGAACAGTTCACCTTCCCACGCCTGCTTCCAGTCTGCCTATAGTGACCACAGTTTCTCCACCTCTCCCTCAGGTGGTAAGCACTAAAAACTCTCTTGGTTTAATGGTTTTGCATCTATTAATTCCAGGAGAAAACAGAAAAGACATGACAAAATCTTGCTGAGGTTGTCAAAAACTTGACCGGTTTTTATTATGCTAAAGCACCTCCACACCCTGTATCTCTCCTCCTAGGTGGCACCCAGGAGAAGCAATCGAACCAGAACAGTAAGTGACACATCAAGAGAATGAGGAATTCCAGGTAGGTGGCCTTTATCTCAGGGTATTTAATATTTAAAACTTAGTTTCTGTACTTTGCTCAGCTGAACAATGCTGGGAGACACAAAATAGATAAGAAAAGGAAACTTGGGCCTCCCTAGTGGCGCAGCGGTTGAGCGCTGGGTTGCGAAGCTGCCCGCGGCCTCTGCTGCGCCGGTTCGATCCCCGGCTGCTCCCCGGCCACCAGAGGAGGGTCCCACATGGCACGCAGACCTCTCCTGCCGCCCGCTGCTCCCCTCAGCAGTGTGCTTCGGTCCTTCTGCCTGCTCTGCTCCCCGCTCTGGCTCTGGTGAATTCTCTCACCCTCCCGCGCTTCTGACTGTGCCCAGTGCATGTATAAACAAAACAAACAAACAAACCAGCAAAACAAATAAATAAAGCATGCCTCTAAAAAATAAAAAAAATAATAAAAAAAAATAAATAAAAAAAAGAAAAGGAAACTGACAGAGATGCTATGGGAACCTGGCCTTGGGTCTACATGACCAATAGGTGAGATGTTCTGCTGAGGGCTTTTATTTAAATCATCTCATTAGGGACCTCCCTGATGGCCCCGGGGTTAAAGTCTCAGCACTATGAAGCTATCCACAGCCACTGCGGCATGAGTTCGATCCCCGGCCAGGGAGCTAAGCCACATTGAGAATTTCCAGGAAGATGGAAACAGGACAAGCAGAACTAAGCAGAACACCTGCTCTGAGGAAGGTCCACCAAAATCTAATGTCCCAGCAGATAGCAACTGGTAGAGACAGACCCCCCCAGTGATGAAAAAGCCCTTGAAAATAGGTTATAAAAGGGAATTCCACATCCTCGCTCCTGTACAGACATCTCCTGTCTTGCCCCTGGCTCTCCTGCAGTATATTTCAATATATCCACCTTTTCTGTTTTCCACTCTCTCTGGCACCTCCGCTCTCACCCTGATATACTGCCACACTTTTGTCCAAATAGAATCTACTGGATTCTCTTTCCTAGAGGTCTTTCTCTGACTTCAACCCAAAACCAATCATATTTTCCTTCTTTTGGAAAAAAAGGGAGCTGAGTTTTTGGAAAGTCTCCTAATTAGGCATGCCTAATTGTGTTCCAAAGAATATACTGTATCATGAAATGCTTCCCAGTCAAATTCTCATATACTGATGCTGTCTGGGAAGGTCACAATGAACAAATTCATGGCCTTGTGAGTGCACATGATCAAGAAACCAATTTAACTTTATTTAATCAAAACATTTCTCAAGGGGCCACCCTGGTGGCACAAAGGGTTATATCTCAGTGCTATCAAGTTATTGGCAGCCACAGCAAGCATAAGTTCAATCCCTGGCCAGGGAGGTAACCCACAGGGCACAGTAGACCTCTCCTATCTTGCCCGCTGCTCCCCTCAGCAGTGTATTTCAGTCAATCTGCCTCTTTTGCTCCCCACTCTGTCTCTGGTGAATCCTCTCACCCCAGCCACCCCGTACCTCTGGCCTACACCCCAACTCTTGTATGAATAAATAAATAAATCTTAAAAAAAAATTTCTGAAACACATTTGAGCATGAAAAGACTCTTTTAATGGTTTCCATAAGATGCAGAAGAAACATCCATTTATTTATCTCTTCCATCATACCACTATTCATTATAAATACCTAAGCATTCTTCCTGTCCCTCAGATATACTAATTGGTACAAAACCAAGAATGTGGCTCAGTAGCCCTGGATTCAATGCCTACTAAGCAATATGAACAAAGCATTCTGCTAGCTTCTGTGGGAAATGCAAAGATGAGTCAGTTCTTGTCCTTCCCTCAGGATGTTTAGCTTTCAGTCACTTCATTCTCTGCCATAAAAGGAATTTGAGGGCCTCCCATGGTGGCACAGCGGTTGAGTGCTAGGCTGCGAAGTTGCCCACAGCCTCTGCAGTGCCGGTTCGATCCCATGCCACCGGCGAGGGTCCCACATGGCTCGACAGACCTCTCCTGCCACCCACTGCTCCCCTCAGCAGTGTACTTTGTTAATCTGCCTGTTCTGCTCTCCGTTCTGGCTCAGGTGAATTCTCTCACTCTCCCGCACTTCTGACTGTACCCAGTGCTTGTATAAATAAATAAATTAAAAAAAAAAACAAAAACGAATTTGAGCTCAAAAATCACTGTCTACTGGATTTATTTTCAGTTCTAAGATTCACTTAGATTCTTCCCTTGATGAATATACCAAGTGTAATGACTTTGACTATCACAGACCTGAATCCAGCAATTACTAGTGGTGTGAACTGTTATCAAAATTTTTAAATTTAGAGAGCGATACTTCACTAGAAAATAAACCTAATGAATCTTACGGTTTTCTTTGGTGTCTTGCAGGGGGTCTGTAAGGATGACTTTATGGAAGACCGAAGGTTTCTGGGTGTTCTTCTAGGAAGGGGTGACATGGAAGCCTCTTCCTCCTCACTATCAGATTCTGAAATCTCTGCTGTTGGCAGGAACTCTTTTTCTTCTGGGTCATTTTTATTATTACCTAAAAACCTGAATGGTAAGTCACATTATTTTCTGATATTCAGTGTTTGAAATCTAAACAAGCAACTCCTTTACAGGTCAGTGCAGATTAGAGGCACTACAGTCTTTCCTGAGACCAAGAATATGGACATGCTCCCTTCTTAAATGCCTGCTTATTGAGATGTTCTGCTGAGGGCTTTTATTTAAATCATCTCATTAGGGGCCTCCCTGATGATGCAGGGGTTAGTCTCAGCACTATGAAGCTATCCACAGTCACTGTGGCATGAGTTCAATCCCCGGCCAGGGAGCTAACCCACATAGCACAGCAGACCTGTCCTGTCTTGCCCGCTGCTGCTCCCCTCAGCCATGTATTTCAGTAGATCCACCTGTTCTGCTCCCTACTCTGTCTCTAGTGAATCCTCTCATCCCTTGCACCTCTGGTCTACACCCCAGTTCTTGTATGCATAAATAAATAAAAAAATAATCTAAACACAAGTATCTGACTATTCCCATTTTATAGAAAAGGAAACAGAATAAGAAAGATTAAGTACTCTCCCTAAAGTTACACAGATGGTAAATGAGAAAGCTCTTCCAAGTATGTCAGAATCAAAGTTCATTCACGCTCTTTGGCACCCACAAATGGTGCCGTTGGAGGTGTGATTATGGGGCACTGGGAGACACCTATGCCCAGGTCAATTTTTCTTGCCCCTTTCAAACTGTAGTATTCACATGAAATTCTTACATAATTCCAGACATACAAGGTAGAAGGTGAATTTCAATGGGTTAGCAAATAAACAATAAAAAGCCTTTAAGAACTAAGATTACAGATATCATAGTTAACATTTTTCTACCTGTCAAGGAGCAGTATTACCTAAGCTGTTGCCTAATCCGGTTCACAGTCAAGAGAGAATTCTTCCTCTGGACACGATGCGGAGTAGCAACAGCCTCATTCTGAGTTTCTGGTTCTTCAGCCTCCCTGTAAGATATTGCCACAAGGTTATAGGAGACAGTAGGCACTGGGGATCAGCAGCAGGCACTAGAGATAGCTGCGCCTCCTATTCTTTTTACAACCATTTTGGAAGGAGTTAATTACACTTTGCTAATAAGTTTATATAGTCTATCTTCCTTATCCATGGGTCCTACCTTCACGGATTTAACCAACCTTGGATCAAAAATGCGTACTATATAATTAAACCTATGACATTGCACCTGCCCTGTACATGAGGGTTTTTTTGTATTATTTTCTAAACAATACAGTATATGTATTTATATAGCGTTTACATTATATTAGGTATTATAAGCAGTATAGAAATGATTGAATGTATATGGGAGGATATATGTAGTTTACATATAAATACTATACTTTTTTATATAAATAATTTCAGCATTTTTGATTTGGGTATCTATGGGGGTCCTAGAATAAATCCCCCATAGACACAGGGGGACAATTATAACTGAGGCTTAACCCAAATATAGAGATTAAAGTTTGCTTAAAGTATATCATTTAAATTAGACTCATCACCTCCCTAATGAGAGAACAGAATATATTAATCCCAGGGATTTTCCTGCTCCTTTTTGTTTCTGACACATCTGTGCATTTACTGTCCACCCAGGCTCAAGGTTAGCAGAGTGCTGCTATACCTTCAATATAAAGCCTTTATAAAGGCCTATTACTAGGCAGGTGCTGGAGTTTCTTATCAAGGAACACTGAAATGTGTGATTTCTAGCCTGTCAGAAATTTGTGCCGCTCATTATTTACAAAAATTATCCAGTGTCAAATTGCAGTTTGTTCTAGGTATGTTATCTTTTTGTACTACAGCTATTTAAGAATGATTTCCACTTAAAAAAAAAAAAAAAAACTAAGAAAATACCTGTTAAAGTATGGCAGAGTCATAGCAAGTAAAAGAATTCGGGACTGTGAGCCAAATAGACTTAGGAAATTATTTTCTAGAGCAGTGATTCCCAAAGGACAGCTATATCAGAATCACCCAAAGAACATTTAAAAATGCAGATTCAGGGCCTCCCCGGTGGTGCAGCGGTTGAGCGCTGGGTTGCGAAGCTGCCGGCGACCTCTGCGCTGCAGCGGTTCGATCCCCAGCTGCTCCCCGGCCACCGGAGGAGGGTCCCACATGGCGTGCAGACCTCTCCTGCCGCCCGCTGCTCCCCTCAGCAGTGTACTTCGGTCCTTCTGCCTGTTCTGCTCCCTGCTCTGGCTCTGGTGAATTCTCTCGCCCTCCCGCGCTTCTGACTGTACCCAGTGCATATATAAACAAAACAAACAAACAAACAAATAAATAAATAAAAACATGCCTCTATAAATTAAAAAAAAAAAAATAAAAAAAAAAAATAAAAAAAAAAAATAAAAAAAAAAAAATAATGCAGATTCATGGGCTCAAAGCCTGAAGAGTGATTCATTATGTCTGGAAAGAGTCTCAGAAGTCTGATTTGGAAAAGCCCCTCTATGACTCTGTGACACAGATTTGTGACCCTGCTGCTCTAAGCTTGTTTGCTATGATGCACACATTTCACATCATGAGAAGGGTTTTGATTTGCTCAGAAAACAGGGTGATGTCCGTGTCACCTGTTTTTGCTGTCTTCTGGTTTCAGAATCACAGAAGGTACCACCAAAGATGTCCGACCTCGCCTAACCGGGGTAAGTGTTATATCTTCACTCATCTCTGGGGCTTTCAAAGCTGGTAATCGAGTTCTCAGGGTCATGTGACATTGAGATGAAGTCTTCTTGTCATCCTCAGCACAAGAGTGTCGAATGTCTCCAGTTTTCTCTGGGGCTTTCATAACTGGAGATGGGATCTCTAGTCTATCTCGCTGAGGCCTCTTAGAAGGTGAGGTAATCTCAGAGAGGGTCACTTTCCTTTTAGTTCTTCCAGGAGAATCTAATGAAGTCCCTAACATCTGCTGGGAATTCCTAGTGTTGGGTGTCCTGGGCAAACCTAAGTCCAAGAGAAATCACAGACAGTGCACCAATTTTATAATCAGTATTATATAAGATAAACAACAACAACAACAACAACAACTTTTGTAATTCTGGGTTGCTACCTAGGTGTTTTATAGTATGACAACCCCGCTAACAACTGAAGTCTGGACATTTAGCGAGGACCTGAGCTTATGACTCCTACCACAAATACCTGCTTTGTTTCTCCCTGAGTACGTTTAAAATAACCACAGAGAATTAAGTCCATGAAAAATTAGTAACTTCTGTCCCAACCACATTATAGGTAATATAACTTGCTATTTATCTTCTGGTTGTTCATGACTTGGGGCTGAAGACTGTCCTCCCCCTGGCTCACTATGGGGGCCCCTTCACCTCTTTTGGGATCTGTAAGTAATAAACCTTTTTTAAAAAAAATAAAATCTTTAAAAAAAAGATTTATTTATTTATGCATACAAGAACTGGGGTGTAAGCCAGAGGTGCGGGGAGTGAGAGGATTCACCAGAGAGTAGGAAGCAGAACAGGCAGAACGACTGAAACACACTGCTGAGGGAAGTAGTGGGCGAGGCAGGAGAGATCTGCTGCGCCATGTGGGTTGCTCCCTGGACAGCTGGGTATTGAACTCCCGCTGCAGTGACTGGTGATAGTTTGACAGCTCTGTTTTTAACCCCTTTGCCACCAGGGAGGCCCAGAAAGTATTAACTCTTGAAACTACTTCCTTTGTGTGGGTGTATTGAAACTGTGCCTTCTATCAAAACAACTTTGGGGGTTTCTCTTCCCAAAGTGGGAGCTCAGGTGCTGAGGAAGCTTCCCCATGTAGGTGGCTTGTTTCTGCTCATTCAGCAGGTCATAATCTTAATTCTTATTAATTCATATTCTAATTCAACATACCATCTCTAGCTTTCTAATAACACCCTTAATAACCTCTTTATAAATTAATTAATTCACTAAAATTATATGAAGACATGAGGAAACTTGAGGTTATAAATTAGAATTATCAGTATAAATGCAACAGTTTTAAGGTGGATATTTCTTAGTTCTCCACTGATCTAAAAGTATCAGGGATCTTGAAGAAATTGCTAATGATAGGGCTCAATTATCACTAATCATTAGGAAATACAAATAAAAACTAACAATCACTTCATAACTACTAGGATGGCTACCACCAAAAACACAGAAAGTAACAAGTGTTGGGAAGGATTGTGGAGAAATGAACACAGCGCACCAGTGCAAAATTATGCAGCTACTATGGAAAACAGTATGGTGGTTGCAGTTTCCATTCTAGAAGAAGATGGTGATGGCTGTACAACAATGTGAATGTACTCAATGCCTATGACAATACACAAAAATGATGAAAGTGGTAAATTTTGTTATCTGTATTTCAACAAGTGTCTTATCGGTACCGGGCCCACTAACTCAACACTGTAGCATGGATTAATATGTTATCATATTCCTTTACCTCAGTATTGCCCATTGTGACCCCTTCCACACTTACTGCCAAGTTCTAGCTTCTTCCTTGCCCTAGGAGTAACAGGATGGGTAGGAGTTTGGCGACATTTGGAGGTAGAATGCCTTGATTCAATGCTTTTGACGACATGCTGTGCTCTGATGCAAGAAGGGCTTTCTGTGCCCTTAGCCTTGGTCCCCGTGAGCTTCTGGCATCTAGGGCTGACTTCCTGTAGCTTATCCAACTCTGCAAATAATTCTGAGGATAGTGGTATGAATTTCGTCTCGTTCCAAGATAGTTTCACAAAGAATGTCTTCTTATTTTTTAGACCCATAGGTATCACATCATCTGGGGCTAAAGCAACTACCTGAATTCAGGAAGTGTAGATGAAGAGGGAGAAATAAGGTACAAAAGAGCAAATTGGGAGCTATGATCAAAAGCATTTAAGTCTGCATCTGTACCTGGGATGTTTCTTTTCTAAACTACAAAGGCACAGACATGGCACAGCATATTTCTATAGACTCCTTCTCACCAATATCCATACTTCACTTTGCTTTCTTTTTAAGTCAATTCTATTTACCCATGCCAAATTTTCCCACAACAAAACTTCTCCAGGCCTGTCCCCTGCTAGATAGTCCATTATTTTTCCCCACTAGCATAAGATCAGACTACTTAAAGTGACTTTCAATGCTTTCTAAAAACCTCATTCTATTTTCCCTTCTGAGTGTGCAATACTTCTCAAAATGGTCTGTATCACTAGTGGAGCATGGCTTATCACAGTCCTGCTCATTCCCAACATCAGCATCCTACCCAAATACTCTGCCTTTCCAAATCTACCGATCTTACTGCTTCAACTTCTATACCACACCTGCTTTTCTTTATTCACTCATTTTAATTAGAAATGAGTTATTTTACGGCACATAAAATGTGCTGGGCCCACAGAGTAGAAAAATCTCACTATTGTCACACCAGACAAAAGTCTTTCTACCATACATTAAATCCACGACCATGTGACTATATTGCACTCATGATGAAACCTCAAATTGAGGACATGAGGCAGCTTGAAGAATAACCTATATTTTGGTCTCCAAACCTATGTAACCCCTTAGGTTACACCCTAAATATCACTTCCTCTAGGAGACTTCTAATGCATAATAAATAGTTTCAGTAAATATTTGTTGAGATGAAGTAAGCAGGCAAGCAGAGAAGATAACAAACAGGAAAAAATTAATTTTGCAGTGTAAATTAAAGGTACTGTCTTTGAGAGTCACTATCATGCAGATTCAGAGGCAGACAGAATTAAGTTCCAAGACAGAACACTTACCTGTACAGGGCCAATGATGGTCTCAACACTAATGTTGGTGGGACAGGCAGGGTAATCATACCAGAATATCTCCTGTGCATCAGGCTTCCGGCCAAGCAAGTGTTGTTTATGGACAGGGATTTCACAGAATCGGATAAACCATTGTACTCGAGCACGTTTCTTGTTAGAAACTTCATAATCTAGTAGAGATTAGAGGGAAAGGGGAAGTGTAAGGGAACGCAAGAACATCTTATTAAGCATTTCCTATGTGCCAGACATTGTGCTAAAAACTTAATGGTTAACATATTTTCCTTAATCCTCACAATAATCCTACAAGGTAGTGATGATGGCTATCTCTCCCTTTTACAGGCAAAGTAATTAAGGACCTTAAATTATTTGCCAAAGCACAGGACCAATAAGCAGCAATCTGAAGCCACTCAGCACCCAAGGCCTTCTCACTTTGCTCCACTTTCTAATAGTGCTATCAGTCATCATAGAAATTGCAAATTGCATTTGAGAGGAGCAATTCTGATCACAGGCAGTGAATAAATCAATGATTATAAAAAAGGCATCAAATAGCAGCAAGACAAAAATCCTACCAAGAATCAGAGCACTGGCTACTAAGTTAACTTCTGGCAAACTATGCTTACAATCTTCAACTTTTTCATTATAATGTAACATTAATAGTGCTCCAGATTATCAGCTCCTAATAAAAGGACATATACTTATTAGTACATCATCATCATCATATCATCAACTCTTCTCTTCTTACCTCTCAACAGATAAAGATTGAAGGCACCCAGAAGAGGACCACACAAGAACTCTAAAATCTCTACACAAAAAGCCCATGCTGGGGCCTCCCCAGTGGTGCAGTGGTTGAGCGCTGGGTTGCGAAGCTGCCCAGCCTCTGCTGGTTCGCTCCCTGGCCACCGCAAAGGCCCCACATGGCACGCAGGCCTCTCCTGCCACCCGCTGCTCCACTCAGCAGTGTACTTTGGTCCTTCTGCCTGTTCTGCTCCCTGCTCTGGCTCTGGTGAATTCTCTCACCCTCCCGTGCTTCTGACTGTACCCACTGCTTGTATAAATAAATAAATCTTAAAACAAACAAAAAAAGCCCATGCTTAGGATACAAAAGCCCACACTGATGTGGAGTGCTCCCCCTAGTGGATGTAAGTTTTCCTCTATATTTGTCAATTATCTTTATTATCTCTGTAATGGAAACATTTATGGAGTCACTCATCAGTTCCTTCTTTTAGGCATCTAAATTGCCAGAGGACAGTCTAACTACCATGTCAGTCTTCTCTTAGCTCTTGGAAGAAGCAGTTCGGTGGAGTTCAAATTGCTCTTTTTCCTTTTTTCCTTTTGGAGCCTTGCCCTATTCCCACCTTCAGACACTCTGTTGGACAGGGTTAAAAACTCAGAAAATCAGCTGAGGCTCTGCAAGTGCACTGCCAGTGAACACTTTTGCTGATTTTTGCCTCTCCAGTCTTATTACAGGTAGTTGTGTCTTCCTGTACTTACCAAACTCTGGGAAACATCAGCTTCTGTTCCTCTAATCTTTTTAACACTTATACACATGTCTCGCTGGGTAAAGTGCTTTTGTTTTCCTAACTGAAAAACTGGTATACCTTTCCAAGCTAACTTACTTTATTTCTTGTAAAGAAGTTACATTGCAAGTTAATTACTAACTTCATAAAAAATTAAAGGAAATCTCTATTGTAGTACAAGTCACCTTTTTTTCTTTTCCCCCTTTCCTGAATTAGTCATTTCTCTCAATTCCACAAATCATGCCTTAATGGTCATCCATCCCCACTCTTGAGCCCTCAGTCCCTTTTAACCAATACCCTCTAGTGAGTAAAGATGTTTATTAGATGAATGAGGGAATAGTTAGTACATTCCCAACTGAGAATTTAGAGTTCACATTTCAAATGCTGCTGAGAACATATGAAATAGCAACTGTACCTATTCCCCATTACCTAGCCACATTCACGATAAGGAATGGTATTTATTCTAGCCCAAAACTCACCATCTTCAAATAATTCAACCAATTTAGCAACATATGGATTTTCATCATCATTCCCTTCAATAAACACGAACTGTCCAACTTGGACACGAATCTCAGAGGAACAACCTTCCATTTTTATGCTCATTTCTCTAGGAAGTAAAAAGAGAAACATGTTAGAAAATAATTTAGGGTGAGCCAAGCTCTTCGGACCCTCTGAGCATAGAGGAAAGAGCTCTCCAACTGGAAAATCCTCTAAATAATTTCTCTCTACTACAGTTCTACTGGGAAACAAATTCGCCCAGTTATATCCAAGAATAAACGAAATGGGTTGAAGGAGTTGTTTTAGCGTGAATGTCTGCAGAGACCTTAATATGAATCCTAAGTTCTCTTGGTTCTTGACAAAGAACCAAGGCTTCCCAAAGCGTGAAAGCTGCCCAATAATATCAAACTGTTTGGAGATCTCTAGGACAGGATCATACCCTGTTATCATGCACTACGCACAACCCACCTTAAGAAGATATAACATTATCATAGATACCAAATTGTATTAACCTGATATCATTTCTTCCTCTATCATTAAGTGCTACATTTATGCTACAATCTTGAATTAAACAAAAGACCTCTTTACAATAAATTCACATGTACTGTTTCTCAATCCTCAAATTTGTAATAACTAGAACAGGTTGGATAAAAGTTACTGACATTTTATTTTGGAGAAGCTACATTTCCAGGACAATCAAAGGACTACATCACTCACTTGTAAGTTTGATATTGCAGTTTTCGATCCAACAGTGGCCTGCCAACCCAAGAATAAGTTTGTCTGGTCTTCAGCCTTGTAAAGTAGCATGCCATGGCTCCTGTGTAAAAGTCACTAACTTTGAGTTAACATGACAATACTCTGGTTAATTCCAGACACAGTCCCTGCATTCAATGAATGCAACCTTCTTTTCTGTTTCTGCCACAGCCCTGCATATTTCAGACTGAGAAAACATTTTCTTTGAGGAAAAAAACAAGTTCTATGAAGAAGGAACATAGGCAACTTAATATTATATGTGTACATCTTGTACTATGCCTTATCTATTCCTAACCAGAGAAACTGGATGGTCAATATGTAAGAAAAGAAACTACAAAAGTTTAGAAGTACTTACTAGGTACAGGCAATATGATTGGTATAAATATCTAACAACTTGAAACCAAAAGACAGTGGTTATACAAATGTCTTCCTTTACACTATAATCTAGACAGGGATAAAATATAAATGTACTGAAGGACAACTAATAGTGCAAAGACCCTAGGAAAAGAACCACAGAGACTACTACTGCAATTTAGAGGACTAGATCTTGTGGCTGTTTTAGGAGGAAGGAATTTCTACAGGGGTTTCCAGAACTGAATATTGAATAATGAGTAGGGATTGGTAAAATGGGATGTAGTGAGGGGTTCCAAAGGATGGAGGAGAAAACATGCAAGAGGTATTTGGGGAAATGGTAATGGAATTGATCAAGTGGATCACTCCATTTCTTAAAGGAAAAACAAGGTGTCACAAACCCATGCTGCTTTGGCAATTGGAAGGAGTATATATTTTTGGCTGACAAATTCTAAGTATTGAAAGTAGCTGAAAATGTGTGTGTTACAGTACATGGAAGAGACATTTTTACTGACAAAAATAGAAATGTGGGGCCTCCCCAGTGGCGCAGCAGTTGAGCGCTGGGTTGCGAAGCTGCCCACAGCCTCTGCAGCGCCGGTTCGATCCCCGGCTGCTCCCTGGCCACCGGAGGAGGGTCCCACATGGCGCACAGACCTCTCCTGCCGCCCGCTGCTCCCCTCAGCAGTGTATTTCGGTCCTTCTGCCTGCTCTGCTCCCCTCTCTGGCTTGGTGAATTCTCTCACCTTCCCGCGCTTCTGACTGTACCCAGTGCTTGCATAAATAAATAAATAAATAAATAAATATCTTTAAAAAAAAAAAAGAATTATTAAAAATAGAAATGTGAATGAAAAATCTAATCTAAACATTTCTGACAATCCTCTTTACAATTTAGAAACTGATGAGTCCTAACAATGCTTAGCCATTATCTTAAATTTAAATAATTAGGAAAATAATAAACCTCTAAAGTCAGTATTTATTTTATAGAGCTAAAATTTGGCAAAACAGATAAAAATATTTTTAAAATGCAGTCTGAATTACTGATAGAGACCAATATTTTCAGTCTTTGTTAAAAAACAACAGAATTAAAATAGCATTATAACAACCTGACTAAACAAGCTGGCTTCCTAAATTTCAGCAGACTTACGGCCTACATACTATTTGGGAATATTTTGACCCATAAGATTTTCTGCCTTTCTTTTTCATTTTAAAGGTATTTTTTTAGTATACTTAAGAAACTAAGGAGCAAAAAGAGATACTGAGTCATTAGTAAACACAAATAATGCCTGATTGTTATTACAGATATTTAGAGAATAATTCACAATATAATTAATTACATTGTAGAAATGAACAAACAGTAAGATTAATGAATAAAAACAAGTATAAGACTTGTACTCAAGTAAAAAATAAAATGGGATTCATAATATCCAAAATCTTTTGGTAAAAATTAGTAAATGTGAATCCTAAAGTTGAAGGGAACATATAACATTAACTTACCTTCAGTATGTGTTCTTTTCACTGGATGATGTAACACGGAACTGTCTCAAGTAAGCACGGAACTTTTCACCTTTCTACAATGGAATTATATAATAAGCTACTGAGATACAGACAAAAGGTACAAGTAAATCACAGTACTCACTAAAACTGTCAAAACAATTGGAATATCACTGATAGTGCTTTGTAGCAAATTAGCATATCCCAGCAAACATTTTATAATTCTTGAATAATTTAACTATGATAAATGGCCTGATTTGTCACTTTGATGATGTTTGATTACATGGATACACACAATGATTTTTTTTCAATCCAAAAACTGACTGCAGAAACTGCAGAAGGGCTATCTCCATACCTCTAGGGTCCTCATACATAACAAAGGGGATGTAAAACATCAAATCCATACTCTCAACTCTCATAAATTCAGATCATATTTTTGCTTACTAAAGCAGGTAACTTCCTTCAAAATCCAAGCCATGATAAAATTTAACCTTCCTTTTCTAGGAGACCATGAACAATGTTAAATAAGACCAGTATATGCACACATGTATGCAAAGGTTGGTAATTCACCCTAGGCTGGGTATCAGAAGGAATGTTACTTGGCCCTGGGCAAAATAATCTGCCTCAACTGGGTCTGTGACTGCTCTAGGCCTGCTTTCCCAAGCCTCAAACAGACCAAGGTTACTTGAGCCTTTAGACTTAGGCAGTAGCTATTCTCTCTTACTATATATCTTTGCAGGGATGGTTCAGGTCTCAGCTCCAGTGAAACTTCCTCAGAAAGGCCTTCACTGATATGCAGTGGAAAGCTACTTCACTCCCTCTTACTGTTTCTCAGAGTCATGTGCATTACATGACCCTATTATCAAAGCAATAACTATTATATCATTTTGTTTATTATGTTTCCCACATAGAATGTTAACTTTCAAAAGAGCAGGGATCTTGGGACCTTATCTAACTTGTTCATAACTGCATCACCAAAGCCCAGGTCAGAATGTGGCACACAACAGGTGAGTTAGTGAATGAATAAATGAACTGGTTCCAAAAATCACTAGAACAAAACCAAGTGTGGTAAGGACACAGAGTAGCCAAAACTCTCATACACTGCTAGAGGGGATGTAAGATGGCAAAATCACTTTGGAAACCTGGCAGTAACTACTAAAGCTGACATATGCTTTATTTATGGAATCACCCAGTAATTCCAACAGAATATACCCAACAGAATGCTGCACCTCCCCCTGCAGTGACCTTTAGGGTTAACATTCCCACCAGCGCGCAGGGGGAGAACAGCAAAACCCTACATACCTGCTGCACCTCCCCCCGCAGTGACCTTTAGGAATGGCTTTCGCCACGGTCCCTAGGTCCGGCTGGGCAACCAGCGCGCAGGGGGAGAACAGCATAACACCCTGAAGCAGAGGAAGTTCAGCGGAAGTTCCCTGAAAAGGCAGAAGCTTATCAAAAGATAACGACCACCAAGAACCACTACAAGAATGCTAAAAATCTTATCCTGTCTTTCTAGAACTACAAACTTTAATCCCTTATTTGTCTTTCTAAACTTCCTTCTTCTATAATGGTCATTGCTTGTTATGTAGATCACCTCCCTGATGGTGATAGACTGAGCCCATGAGCAAGCTAATTTCATTGATATTCATTCCTGTGCTTTTGGAAAACATATATATACTGGTCACAAACTCAAAGAAAATTACACTCAGATTTTCACTCTTGAAGTGTGTCTGTTTGTCATTTCTTTCACCGACGCCCTGACCACCCTGCACGCTTCTCTAAACCCTGATGTGGCCTCATCGTCTACTGCTGTGCTGGTCCGTGGCAACAGAAAAACTTCATCAAAAGACATGACCCAAAACATTCATAACAGTACTATACAGCAATGAAATTAAATCAATGGCAACTGCACATAACATGGGGTAAATCTCATCAAAAAATTATTTTAAAAATTAGGGTTTTTTTTAATCAGCTATAAATTGATTCCATTTATAGGATTCAAAAACAGGTAAAAATAATCTATGATGTTAGAAGTCAAAATAGAAGGCAATCTAGGTGATTGGGCATGATGGGGGAATAGGGTGCTTCTGTGATGCTGGTCATGTTGTTTCATGACCTAGATACTGGTTACATGGACATGTTCTCTGTAATAAAACTCACTGAGCTATCCATTTATGATTTGTGCACTTTTCTGCATGTATGCTATTCTTTAATGAAAAATTAAAAAATTTAATCAGGAGTTCTTCTAAAGAGGCAATATAAAACAATTATAATTTATGCTGCTACCCCACTTTCTTACCCTCAACCGAGAATTTCATGTCATATACCATTAGCAGATGATTTTTCTCCAAGAAAAACCATGAATTCAGTGAGAGGAAGGTCTGGTTAGACCTAGCAAAGGTTTTGGCGCCTATAAGATACCCACTACCAGGCTCTCAGTCCCAGATACCAAAATCTAGAACATACACACCACCCAGTCAAAGGACTGCATCCCAGGAAAAGATAAGGAAGTTATACTAAAAATGATAGCAGGGCCTCCCCGGTGGCGCAGCGGTTGAGCGCTGGGTTGTGAAGCTGCCCGCAGACTCTGCGGTGCTGGTTCGATCCCCCGCTGCTCCCCGGCCACCGGAGGAGGGTCCCACATGGCGCGCAGACCTCTCCTGCCGCCCGCTGCTCCCCTCAGCAGTGTACTTCGGTCCTTCTGCCTGCTCTGCACCCCGCTCTGGCTCTGGTGAATTCTCTCACCCTCCCGCGCTTCTGACTGTACCCAGTGCATGTATAAACAAAACAAACAAATAAACAAATAAATAAATAACATGCCTCTATAAAAAAAAATAAATCTTTAAAAAAAAAAAATAAAATAAATAAAAATGATAGCAGATGTTTATTGAGCCAATATGTCAAAAGATGAAGCCAAAACTGTGCTATATTTATCTCATTGTAGTCTCAAATTCTAAAATACTAGTACACAGTAAGAGCACAGCAGGTGCTCAATAATAAACATTTGCTGAATGAAAGGTAGACACTATCATCACTGAAAAATGATAATTTACTCCAATGTAGTATAGAATGGCACAGCCTTAATTCAGACTCTCAGAGAGTGAATACCATGCCTGCAGTTTTAACTACATCCTCTTTCTGTTTAAAAGTGGATAATTTTAATGTATGCCCAAGAGAACTTGCTTTTGATATCCTTATTAAATGTCAGGCTTCCCAGTCACCAACTGAGAAGTCAAACGGTCCTCAATTTCCTTCCCCTTATTTTATAGGGGAGATAATAGAAATTTCCTCTTATTTAACCAATAATTATTAATTAACCATGGTGTGCAGGCACTATTCTAGGACTACTGAGGCGTAAGTAAGAAAATGAAAGTGGTAAAAACATTTCCCCACTCCCTTGCATCTATTTCTAAAAGACAGTAGCTTTGTTTTTGTCTTTAGTTATTTGATGAAATTATGAAGCAATACATTTCACATAAAGTTTTACGTTTAATTTTTGGGTATTCATAAGCCTTCTAAAGTCCACATTACGCCCATAACCCCTCTGTTACGTTAAATACTGAGGGACTTGGTAAAGACCATGCCTCACAGAGGAAACCACTATTGCCATGCAAAGCACCCAGTACAGCCGGCAAGAGCGTAGCATTTTTACAGATAACTACAATCGAAAACTGACGTATCTATTAATAATTACAGTAGTTTCACTAGGGTAAGGATCTAGCATCTCTTGCCTCTATATTCAGTGATTCTTTTCCAACTGTCAAAATAGAAGGCCTTTCTATTCCGGAGTTAAGACTAGAGTAAGTAGAAGAGGTGCCACAGACTTGTCTCCTTGGAAAGAAAGTGGATGAGAGTCCACCCGTTAACAACAGCTCATCTGGAAAAAGAAGATGTCACTAAAAGCCCTGATCACTTAGTCACAAAAGGACAAGTTTCCCTCTGGACGTAATAACTACATCCCTAAAATGGGATCATAACTTCTGCTGTGCCTGCCGGGTGGTGCTAGCTACAATTACAGCACAAAGGAGAAAAAAGGGCGAATGCCTCACAAGGACAATGCAAATAAAAAGGGATGGTGACGATCATTACAGAGGCCTCAGGGCGCCCAGGGCAGGAAAGCCCACGCTTCCCCGCCATTGGCTTCCGGCTTCCCCACTGCAAAGTCTCAACCCTGGCGGAGCAAGGAACCGATTAGGAATCGGGATGTGGAAAAGAGAAACGCTCCTAACGGGTTTAGAGCAGTGTCTGGCACTTCACAGACACTTAGCTAACATGTGCAGAATGAATCAGTGACTAACAGTCTACAGAGAACGTCCTCAGCCCCGGTGGCTCGGGTCTCCCTCCTGCCCACCGAACGCCGCACTCACGCCGCACCAAGACTTCCCAGAGCTAGGAGCAAGCCCTCTGCTCCCCCCGCCCCGGCTCCAGGAGAGTGCGGTGCTAGAGCCACTCTGACCTGCCCCCGCTGGATTCTCCTCAGTCAGTCGCCGCGCGCCGGGCTCAAAACCAGCGCCTCACTAGGAACCGAAAGACAGCGAGGAGAAAATTTCGCGCCAAACGTCGTAGCCCCGCCCCTGGGCGGTCCCTACATTCCACCGCCCGCCAACCCTCACGCCCCGCCCACCTGAGGGGAGGCACGTGACGTCGTCCGTCCCCGGGCAGTGGAAGTCTTAGTAGGTGGTAGGCGTTTTTGGTTCCGTTAGCGGAGCCGTTTGCGGAAGGACGTTCCTTACGCAGCAGTTTCCGGTTTCAAGATGGTCGCTTAAGCTGTTTAGTTTATCCCATCTCCGTTTTTTTTTTTTTTTTTTTTTTTTTTTTTGTTAAATCCGGATGTGACGTATTAAAGGACCGCCGGAAATAGAAGTGAAAGCATTCTGAAATGGCGAACCGCACGGTGAAGGATGCGCATAGCATCCACGGCACCAACCCTCAATATCTGGTGGAGAAGATCATTCGAACCCGAATTTATGAGTCCAAATACTGGAAAGAAGAGTGCTTTGGACTTACAGGTGAGCGGGAGTGCGCGGACCCCTGGCCACCCAAAGGCCCAATTCCCTTAACTGCTCGGTGGAGGGACTGGCCCTTGGGGATAGGATTGGGGAGGAATAAGTCAGTCATTCAGGAAAATCTGAACATGTTGAGTTTTGGGAACGTAGATGAATCTAATACGTGTTTATTCCGAAGGGTCTCTATTTCTTTGAGTCATTCCATGTTTAATGAGAACCTGCTGGATCCCCAAAGGTTAAAATCAGGGGACCCTAAATGTATTAAAGTTATCAATGTGCTCGAAACCAAGTTCAAGATCTTTTATCTCTAAATCTAGACCATTTGCAGTATTTCTGTTGTTAGGACATCATTTCCCCGTAACATTTCCACATTCAGGTCCTAATATAAATACTCAGAAAATTTCCAGTTAGTGTTCCAGTTGTTCGATTTTTGGCTCTTTTTAGTAAGCTATGTCACCCGGTGAATCATGGCTTTTATTGTAAAGCTGTTAGGGGGAAAAGGATTTCCTAAAGCTAATTCCATACAGGCTTTGTGGACTCCACCCCCACCCCAGGCTAAAGCCAAAGACACCGGGAACTCCAAATCCAATCACCACCAAAGGGAAGGTGGCAGGGACCTGAGGGTGGGGTTAAGCAGCCAAGTTGGTATAAAGGCAGACACGTGGGCGAAAAGGATGTCCTTTTCCCTTGTAAATAAACCTTTTATTAACCTTTTGTGTGTGCCTATAGTGGAGTATTAATAAGTCCCTTTTAAGCGCGGGTGAGGACCCACAGCCAGGCAACCCGTTCAATATCGGGGCTGTCTTATAACAGCGCGAGTGTAAATGATGCACCGACCTTAAATGGTTGTTCTATGGATTAAATGCAATCATCTGTAAAAAGTGTTAGGTATAGTTAAAAGTATGTATTTATAAAAGTTTTCAGTAATCAAGTGATAGTGATGGTGCTAGTTGTTTCACTGTTAATTATTTCTGTGCTGTTACTACTGCCACCACCACTGGCCTCCATGGATGAGTCATATTGTTTATCTAAGTTGCCATTACATGGAGTCATGTAAGATTTGATTTTGGGCCCTTTTCTCATTCCATAGTTCTCCTTGGATGATCTCCTTATCAGTTACATTATATATGGATGCCTTCAAATTTACTTTTGCCCAAATCTCCCTGATATCCAAAACTCTAATTCTAAGACATGCCAATTCATTTGGTCCAAGAGTGATCTCATGACCTTTTCCAAAGAAGTCCCAGTATGCCCTATGTTCAAGTCTTTTAGCATAGTGTCAGTTTTTCTGTAGATTTACATAGTCACTGCCCCTTCCCCAAGAGTAGATTATGTTCCCTTGTCAAATACTTTCATTGAACTCTGTAGCTTCTTTCAACTACTCATCACACTTAAAATTTATTTTCAGTGCTTCTGCTTTCAGTGCCACACTGTAAAGTCATAAAAGTAGTGATTGTGTTCCTCTTCTTTACCCCTGTACTTGTATCTCCTGTACATACTTAACGTCTAAGTTGTTAGCACTTAGCTATAGGTCATCAACTATAATGTTGACTGAGTAGAATTTATCCTGAACTTGATATCTGGATCATAGGATGACTTTTTCTTAATGATAGCTGTCATTTGTTATATCCAGTTCTTAATATTTATTTGTATTGTCTCGTTTGATTCTCATGGTAGCCCTTAAGCCAACTCCCTTTGTTACTCAAATTTTAACTGACAGGTACAAGGAGACATGAAGTGGTTTGTCTTAGTTCCTAGAGCTAGAGTTTGATTTTGACAACATTGGAAGGTTATTTCCCCATTCTGTAGATGAGGTTTGCTCAACTTTATAAAGCTATTAAGGGGTTTTGTTTCTTATAATTCTTACTCTGGCAGATTTTTTCCCCTACATGTTGGGGACAATCATGGACTTTGAAGACTGCTTAGATTTAAATCCAGGCCCTGCCACTTTCTGACCTTTGTACCTTATGCAAGTCATTTAACCTTTTTTAGACATCATTTTTCTTTGCTGAAAGTAGAGATACTAGTACTTACTTCATTGCTTATAAGGATTAAATTAGAGAATATTAAGTGCTTAGTAGAGTACATGACACATTATACTTATCCTTAGGTGTATTCTGGGTGCCATTATTATTACTATAAATGCATACTTGTGTTCCTTGTAGTAAACTGTTGAGTGTTCTTGAACACCAAACCTCGAAATAACTTCTCAGTACTTAAAAACAGGAAATACTTAAAACCCTAATATGTCTGAGTGCCACTCTTGTTTTTGTTTTCTAGCTGAACTTGTAGTAGATAAAGCCATGGAGTTAAGGTTTGTGGGTGGCGTCTATGGTGGCAACATAAAGCCAACTCCCTTTTTATGTTTGACCTTGAAGATGCTTCAAATTCAACCAGAGAAGGACATCATTGTAGAGTTTATCAAAAATGAAGACTTCAAGTGAGTGAAATATTGACTAATATAAAAGTTTCCATTTCAGTGGTCCAGAATTTGGCTTTGCTTAAGAGCAGTGAAAACAATGTATCTCATTTCCATAATGCTTTCCACTCTAGGATTTTGCTCTTGAGCCCTTGTCTTTTTTATTTTTGTTGATCTTCTCCTTTACTTTTTCAGTCTTGATACTTTCCCCACAAAATAGTATTTCATAGCCTGACTGAAAATATTTTAAGCAGAAGTGAATACCTAATATGTTGGCAACAGTGGATTACAGGGGTAAAGAAAACAACATCATGTACTGATGTGAGGGAAAACTTGGGTGTTAACTTCATATCCAGACACTGTTGCTTAACTGTGACCTTGAAAAAGTTAATTTTCTTAGTTTTTCTCTCTTTATCTGTAAAATGGAGGCAATAATAACAATTCATGATTGATGTGAGGGTTAAAGAAGATAATGCTGTGCCTGTCATGCAGTGCCTGTTATGTGGTAAACACCCTCAAAATGTAGCCGCTCTTAAATAGTTTATTATTCGTTCTCAGAGTCAGACAAATTTAGGCAGTAAACACAATGAAGTTATGTGCAATGTTCTGTTCTAAGGGATTTACATATAATAATTTAATCTTTGCCAACAACTCTATAAAATTATCTCCATTTTACAAGGGAGGAAATTTAGGCACAGAGAGAGTAGTTTCCCCAAGATCAGACTGCAAGTGAGTGACAAAGCTGACTTCAGAATCCACATTCTTTGCTACACAATTCAGTTTATCATGTGAAGAAACTTTAAGTTTTAGATGCCTATTTATCCAAGTGGAGAGTTGAACAGGTAGTTGGATGTAAAAAAGAGAAGAAAGCTTATAAAACATTAATGGTTAGAAAATAGCTAACTTTAATTAAGCACTTAGTATGTGCTGTAGGCTATTAAGTCTATTAAACTGAAATTTGAATAGTGTGTTGTACATTTTCACAGCCAGGAAGTGATAGAATGGGAACTCAAACCCACATCTCCATATTTTAGTTAGCTTTCTACTGGCCCATGCTACCTCTATAATTGCAGCTTTTCTACCAAAGAGAAGAGAGAACTTTATTGAGAAAAAGTGAATTATGAAACTCAGGAATTATTTAGAATGGCCCATTCATTGCCTCATTATCATATATTTTTCAGGTATGTCCGCATGTTGGGAGCACTTTACATGAGGCTGACAGGCACTGCAATTGATTGCTACAAGTACTTGGAGCCTCTGTATAACGACTACAGAAAAATCAAGAGCCAGAACCGTAATGGAGGTATGAGTATTGTGGGGAATGGTCAAAATCACCCTTGTTAAGAACCCGATGTGGGGGCATCCCTGGTGGCGCAAGGGGTTAATAAGCACCACACTATGAATCAATCCGCAGCCTCTGCAGCATGTGTTCAATCCCCAGCTGGCCAGGGAACAACCCACATGGCGCAGCAGACCTCTCCTGTCTCGCCTGCTGCTCCCCTCAGCAGGGTATTTCAGTCAGTCTGCCTGTTCTGTTCCCCACTCTGTCTCTGGTGAATCCTCTCACCCCCCTGTAACTCTGGCCTGTACCCCAGCTCTTGTATGCATAAATGAATCTTTAAAAAAAAAAAGTAAAAAAAAAAACAACAATGTAAGATAATAGTCACTATATAAGTTCCAAAAAACAATTGCTCCATTTATAATATAAGCTACATCTCTATTTTTAGAAATATAGTGTTTTCATGTGGGAAATCTCACTTGAGTTATATCATCTATTCAAGAACGTCACCTTTATACAATTCAGGACTGTTTCTGCATTTCTCCTGATAATTGGAAGTTTCATTCATCCCTTTCCCTGTAGCACCTAGCAGGCTGACACATAGATGGCCTCAGTAAAGATGAACTGAATGAACGAAAATAGATGGTGATGATAAGTTAAGAAAAGAAGGGTTGTAATTTGAATTCAGGTTTGACAGTAGTCCCTTCTGGGTAATTGCCACATTGCAGTAATTCTAACTAGTGAATGTGCAGGGAAAGGCAAACTGAGGGGAGTTAATATTTTGTATATCAAGTACTTATTAGACATTCTATATATAGAATCTTCTTTTACTTTTTGACTATCTGAATATATTTCCAAGTTGCTTGAGCTTATGATTTTTCTTTCAGAATTTGAACTAATGCACGTAGACGAGTTTATTGATGAACTGCTGCACAGTGAGAGAGTCTGTGATATCATTCTCCCACGGCTGCAGGTAAGAGAGAAAGATCTCATCAAAGTCACCATTCTTCTAGCCAAGACAGGCAGTCAGACAAATATACACAATAAAACACTGACGCTCCCATGGGAAAATCCCTTTAATAATTAGTCTGTGTGTCTATGAGCAAGGGATTGTAGTTAAAGGAGAAAAGACCAAGTATTTAAAGGGTAAAGCATTAAAAATAAAAACACAAGAAAACTAGATCCCAAACTGTGGTGGTCCCATGATTAGAGAGACCTTTCACAAGAAATTGACTTGCCTGAGTGGCATTTTGTGTCATTTCTACCAACCTTCATAGAATTTTGGTAAGGGATGAGAGAGCTAAGTAGCATACACATTACTAGTTATTCCAGAGCTATTGAACATTTTTTGTATGTCCTTAGCACAAGATAATGGAAAGGGGTCTTATGACACAGCCAGTTCATTTGGCAACTTTGAACTGACCTTTGCCTTTCAGGTCCTTAGTCATTCATTAAGCACTGCTAAGCCACATTGCAGAAGAAACTAGAATCACAAGATGATTTTTTTCATAACCTGTGTTTTATTCAAAATGCATGACTCTTCACTGCTCCCTAAATCCTAGGTCTAGTAGAGTTGGTATGTCTCTAGAGTAGGACCCAAGGCACTTCAGCCCTTAAGCTGGGCTGAGCTTCTCCTGGTAGAACTACCAGGCCATAGAGACTCAGCTGTGTGTAAACTTACTGATCCTAATGTATGAAGCCCACATATTTATTCAAGGCTGTCCCTATACTGATTGATACTTCAGTCACTTTAGCATATTAGATCATAGGGAATAGAGACAATAGGAAATAAAGATGTTCCGCTCAGGTTTCCCCTCCCCGTCCCCACCACCCCCCCAGCTTTGTATTTACAGGTCTATAGAAGTTATGAGAGTATAGAATCCAGTTGTGTTAAACTATTTAGAAAAATCTTGGACAAGGGTGTCTGAAAAGAAACTGCCTGTTGTTGCGCCAATGTTTTTCTGTCAATCCCAGTGTTAGACAGAAGAGAGAGACATCAACGAGGTCTCCCTAACTCATCATTTTCTCTGTAGAAACGCTATGTGCTAGAGGAAGCCGAGCAACTGGAGCCACGGGTTAGTGCTCTAGAAGAAGACATGGATGACGTGGAGTCCAGTGAAGAAGAGGAGGAGGAGGATGAAAAGGTCAGGCATATGGGAGTTTAAGGGAGGTGAGGGATGGGAATGGTTCCTTTTTATTTTGCTTTGTTTTCAAATTTAAATCAACTCAGTAGACTATTAGGTGGGTATTAAAACTAGTGAAAAGTATATGATAATGGGGAGATTCCTACGTTAGGTTATAGAAGATGGATGATGATGGATGCATTTATGATTAAAATTATAAGTAACATGTATAAAAAAAGGCTGGGGTAAATACACTAAGGTTTGCTGGCTTATAGATCCTGGGTGCAAACTGAATTGTATCTCTGAACCTATAGGCTCTTAAGATGAATGCAAAGATGTTCTATCTCTGTCTTATTAAGCTGCTGCCACCAACCAGGAATTAGCCAATTTTTTTTTATGTTGGGATATGGTAGCTACAGCTCCAATCAGGGCACTATAAGTGCTCATTGCTTTAAGTTTGGCCAGAGCTCAAAGAAAAGCTTTTCCAAGGTAACTGTACTGCTGTATAGTTCTTCCTTTACTTGCAATGAGGGTTTCATATTGATACATCCATTCTGAATTGAAAATGCCTCTGATACATCTAACCTACCAAACATCATAGATAAACCTGATCTACTTTAAATGTGTTCAGCATATTGACATTAACCTACAGTTGGACAAAATCATCAAAAATAAAGCCTTTTAATAATAATCACAAGAGTATTGTACCACATTGCTAGCCCAGAAAAAAGATAAGTTCAAGGTTTTTTAACTCATTGTGTATATGTGTGTGTGTGTGTGTGTGTGTGTGTGTGTGTGTATTTCACCATAGCAAAGTTGAAAAATCATCAGACCATTGTAAGTCTAGGAATATCTGTATCTTTTCTCTTTCACATTGAAAACCTACCATCTTAAGAAGTGAAGTAAATTTATTTTTCAATATACTCAGCACAATCCTGGAATAAGGGCATCAATGATAGAAAAATGGGATTATTGGAAACAGCTTAATTTTTTAATTTTGTAGTGGGGTGGTTGTCTTTAGGATTATTCTATGTATTCAAATTATTGTTTTAAAAGTCACTTGGAGGTGGAATTTGGGACAGAATGGGGAGTATAAGTAGTATTTCTAGATGGTTTTGTATAACTGACTCATCACTGAGCTCATTACTGACTCATCCATCTCATTTTTAGCTGGAGCGAGTACCATCACCTGATCACCGCCGCCGAAGCTACCGAGACTTAGACAAACCCCGGCGCTCTCCCACACTGCGCTATAGGAGGAGTAGGAGCCGGTCTCCAAGAAGGTAATGTCCTAGTCATTGACCTCTTCCAGGGAGTCTTTTAAGCACTGTAGCCAAAAAGTTTGGATATCAGGGAAGGAAAAATGCCAGTATGTACACAATGTTTATTTGTCCAGCGTCTTAAGTACTACAGAAACCACCACAAATGTGCTGTTAGTGCTAGAAATTAGTTCAAGTGTTTTGTCAATTATTTAAGCTCAGCTTGGATAGGCTTTTTTTTTTTTTTTAAGTTTAAGGTATGGCTCCTTACCTATTTTCTGGTCAGGTGTCCATGGCCAGTATATGGTGGCCCCAGTTGGGATGCCTGGGACAACTTATTTGTGTCTCATCCTAGGCTAGGTTAGGCATGTTCTCATGGCAGTGACAGAATTTAAGAACAAGCCAGCCTACTCTTGCAAGTATTTTTCTAGTGTCTTTATCATACTTGCAGATACCCATTGTCCAAAGCATATGTGTAATTGCAGACTTGTACTGGGAGGGTGCTAAAGTTACCTGACAAAGGACATGGTAACAGAGATGGGTGAAGAAGTGAGGTAATTTTTACAGTCTACAACAACCAGTGTACCTAAGACTATTCTTTCCTTTCATCCAGGCGGAGTCGGTCTCCCAAGAGGAGGAGGTAGGCCTTCTGTGAATTTTGATAGAGATTTTGGAGGGGGACACTGTTGTTCTGAATATGTTGTTAAGACAGATATGGGAATCCGACCAATTATTCCCACAGCCCCTCCCCTCGCCGAGAAAGGCATCGGAGCAAAAGTCCAAGACGACATCGCAGTAGGTCCCGTGATAGACGGCACAGATCCCGTTCCAAATCACCAGGTATGGCATTTGAGCCATAGTTGTGGTTGTCTTAAAAAAATGTATTACGAGTTGTTAGCCTTCTGAAATACTGAAGTGTCTGCCTAGATATTTCCTAGAAAAGGAAATATACTTCATATCTTGACTCTCAAGTCTAAGCTTTGCTGATAGGATGATGAGCTTCAGGCTTTTTATCTAAAATTGAAAACCTAATAGTGTACCGATAAATACCCAACCAGATGTTTGTGAAATTAACCCTGAATTTGCATATGGTTCAGTTCTCCACTCCCCAAAATATGCAAGTACAAATTCACCAGCTGAGAGGTGCTACCAAGAGGTTTCCCTAGTACAGAGCAAAAAAGTATTAAGCCAATGGAATGGACTGGGACAGGTAAAAATGACAGCAGAGGATCAGGAGGGTAGACTCTCATTTATCCAATGGCCTTGTTTTTCCCAGGTCATCATCGTAGTCACAGACATAGGAGCCACTCAAAGTCTCCTGAAAGGTATGGATTAACTGCTTTTTAACTTAGGAATTTCACTTTTTATTTAGAAATTAAAGTATTAAATTAGTCACAGCTAAGTTAGAACTGAAATTTTCTTGTATTTGGTGGGGATATTTAGGAATTCTTCATTACAGGACAAAATTGGCCCTTTGGGAATTACTAGAATTATGTATCTTTTTTTTATTGCTTTGTTTTTCCTTGTGGGATTGCAGCTTTTGACAGTGGTAAGGGCATGAGCTTTGATCCCAGGAGACCTCTGGTTAAGTCCCAACTTTTAACGCCTAACAGTTGAGGGACTTTGACTATTGACCCTGATAAGCATTCATTAGAAATCTCCATATGCTAAATAAAGAGTTAGGTGCACTTTTAACCTCTTAGAGGTAATTTCTTCATTAGTAGATTTTGGATAGTAATGTCTAAGTCAGTATTGCTCTGAGATATGAAAATACCAAGTACATTTAATGAATACCGTATCATTCCTATCCCCATCAGCATGCCCTGGTTTTCCACAAAAGTCCTCACCTAGTTTCTTTTTTTTTTTTTAAATAGAGGCATGTTTTATTTATTTATTTGTTTGTTTGTTTTGTTTATACATGCACTGGGTACAGTCAGAAGTGCGGGAGGGTGAGAGAATTCACCAGAGCAGGGAGCAGAGCAGGCAGAAGGACTGAAGTACACTGCTGAGGGGAGCAGCGGGCAGCAGGAGAGGTCTGCGCGCCATGTGGGACCCTCCTCTGGTGGCCGGGGATCAAACCGGCGCTGCAGAGGCCGCGGGCAGCTTGGCAACCCAGCGCTCAACCGCTGCGCCACCTGGGAGGCCCCCCTCACCTAGTTTCTTGAACAGCTATTAAATTTAATACTTATGTGTTGCCTTTTCAGATCTAAGAAAAGCCACAAGAAGAGCCGGAGAGGGAATGAATGAATGATGGACTCTGGTTTTAGTCCAAATGGCTTATGGATGAAGGCATCTGTGTGGAAGGATTAAGAACTTCCTAGGCAGCTATGAGAATTTTTTTAGCCAATATTCTCTTTTCTAAATGAAAGAGGTGCTGAGATTTGTATCTCTTCTTGAATCATAACCTATGTTTGAGGAATAGTGTTACCCAATTGTTGCTTCTGACCCTTTAGTACAACAACTCTTCGTTTATTCAAACTTGTAAGGGAAGAAAGGATTTGGGATGTGGAAGGTATGAGTGACCAGCAAAGGTTATGGCCACCTGATCACTTTTTTTTTTATTAAATTTGACATATCCATCTTGCATTTTTCTATACTTTAGATTTTGGGTTGCCCCATGTTATGAAGATGCTGAGATTTATGCTGCTGCTACTGCATTCAGAGCTCAAATCAGTAAAACACATTGGCTTCTACTCTTCCCCCACCCCAACATCAGCGAAGTGATAATAAACATGAAAAATAACTGACAGTAACAGCTTTGTAAAGACAGAATGCATTCAAATGTTAAGGCTTTTGTAACATTTAATCCACAGTTGCATTGAATAGTTCAACAAACAGAATTAACACCTTTTATACAATATTCTTACATAGTATTCGCCCCCCCCACCCAAAAAGCCTTGAATTCCAGATTAAAAGTGCTCAGTCTTTATCCTACAAACATTGACATTATCCAACTTTAGTCAGTGGCAGTAGGGTAACAAGACTGAAAAAAGTTGATGGAGAGAAAGGCTATCTAATAGCATTTGTGGTTTTGACTAGAATTGGTGGACAACAGTGCCATATACAAAAGCAGGAATTACACAGCGGGAAGAGACAGGATTTAGAAGGGCAGGTAGTAAGAGGTGTGGTGGCAGGGAAAATAATGCATTTAAAGTTTGAGATAGCTATGCTATATCTAGCCAAACCCCAGACAGTTAGAAATAGGAACTCCAGTTAAACATAGTAATCTAGGCCTGAAATGACATTGTTTAGGTAATTGGAAGACACAGAATTAAATGAGATTTCCCAGAAGCGTATGTAAGAAAAATCAACAGCTGAATAATAGGCAATAACAACATTGGTGAGAGGAAAAAGTGCAATTTCAAAACTACCATTTAAAAAAGTAGTTCAAAAAAGTGAAGCACCTAAGGTTGCAGAAGCAAAATAAGGACTTAAAACTGCCCACTGATAAGCAAGAGGGTATTGAGAGTCTTTGCTAGGAGATCTGTCTGCCTATACTTACCTTTCTGTTTTTACAATGGAAAAGTGAATTGAATGGCTTCCTGTACCTCTAGTCCCAGAAAAAATTGTGAAGAGAGGATTCATTTTCTTGGGAAGTCATATGTGGTCATAGGATAAGCATACTGCTGTTTGCTATTGAATTGCAGGACTTCCGCAGCAATATTAAAAGCATGGTGGGATCATGTTTGATATTTTACATTCTTTGGAAATTTTCAATACTTTAGCTAGTAAAAAGATGTTCACATGAGCTATTATGATTTACAACTAGACAGAATTACGTTTAAAAATTAAATATTAATGCTATTAATAATATCTTAGCAGAGTCCTAGCAGTTCTTTCTTTACCAAAGTGATCTAGGTGGAAAAATGTCCTTGGGCTAAATGACCAACTACGTTGTCATCTAGTATAATGTTTTAAATAAGTTTTTATTTTAAAATAAATAAATTTAAACTAGAATTTTAATAACAGAAATACCACTCCTCCCATACCACCACCACCCACCCCCCCCAAAAAAAAAAAAAACTAAGAAGCACACTTACTTGGGCATATGAAATCTGGACCAAAATGGGGCAGCATAGTCAACCTATAGCAGGAAGTAGATTATCCTTATTCCTTATTAGTATAAAGAATGAGTGAGACACATTGAACATCTCTCTAGAGACTGTTTTGACAAATTACAAAATTGCAGATGAAGCTTTAAGATAGACCTTGCCACGAGGATATGGAGAAAAAGGAACTCTCCTGCACTGTTGGTGGGAGTGCAAACTGGTCCAACCACAATGGAAAGCTGTGTGGAGATTCCGCAACCTACTAAAAATAGAGCTTCCATATGATCCAGCAATTCCACTCCTAGGTATTTACCCAAAGAATACAGAATAATTCCAAAGGGCACCTGCACCCCTATGTTTATAGCAGCACTATTTACAATAGCTAAGCTTTGGAAACAACCCAAATGCCCAAATACAGATGACTGGAACAAGAAGATGTGGTATATATACACAATGGAATATTACTCAGCAATCAAAAAAGATAAAACTCATGCAATTTGCAGCAACATGGAAGGAGCTGAAAGGGATCATGCTCAGCGAAGTAAGCCAGAAAGAAAACTACCGGATGGTCTCACTCATAGCAGGAATCTAGAAAACCTAAATAAGGGACCAGGAAAAAGAATAACTATGAGAAAGAAAAAATCAACAAGCAACCATAAACCAGAGACACACTGGCGGGGGTGGGTGGGGAAAGGAGGGATTGGGTTCAAAATAAAGGGGGTGCAATTGTATGGGGAAAATAAAAAAAAAAAGACCTTGCCACCTGCTGTCATGTGTGGACAATTCTACTGGATGAAGCTTTGGAACTCCGTAACATTGTTTTACTGCAGCTTATCTTAAGGAACATGTCTGACATCCTTACTATGTATATATAATCTGTACTGAAAGAGTTCATAATCAGTATCAGAATCCATTCTGCTACTTCCTATATTCATTTTTTTTAAAGATTTATGTATGCATACAAGAGCTGGGGTGTAGGCCAGAGGTGCAGGGGGGGAGGGGTGTGAGAGGATTCACCAGAGACAGAGTGGGGAACAGAACAGGCTGATCGACGGAAATACACTGCTGCAGGGAGCAGCAGGTGAACAGGAGAGGTCTGCTGCGCCATGCGGGTTAGCTTCTTGGCAGGGATTGAACTCATGCTGCACTGGCTGCTGATAGTGTCATAATGATGAGATGTAACCCCTTGTACCACCAGGAAGGCCCCTATGTTTTTAATGATGGGTACAAATCACTAAAATGACTTCACTTGCCACATTTGAATTATATTTCCTTAAAAGCTTTTCCGTAGGGCACAGAGACCTCTCACTACTAAGAATGAAAGGAGATGGGTTCTCAGGGGAAACAGAATTTGACTTCCAAAATAACAGCCCAAGTTAAAAGGATTTGACTTCCAAAATTTAAAATTTATTGCTCTACCCTATTCAGTTATTCTTTAGAAGACTGACTTAAGTTTAAATAAGCATTAATCAGAAAAACAAGGATCACAGGTGCTGGACACTCACCCCCTAAAAAGTTAAAACAAGTTCTCTTAAAAATTCAAGACACAGCAAGTGGTCTGTTTTCTTTTTTAATGCAAATATGCAAGTTCAAAGAAATGAGAGCCTAAAGAACTGAAAAATTGGAAAAACAAGTTTTTTTTTTTAAACAATTTTTTTTTTTAAAGAGGCATGTATTTTATTTATTTGTTTGTTTGTTTATACATGCACTGGGTACAGTCAGAAGCGCGGGAGGGTGAGAGAATTCACCAGAGCCAGAGCGGGGAGCAGAACAGGCAGAAGGACCGAAGTACACTGCTGAGGGGAGCAGCGGGCGGCAGGAGAGGTCTGCACGCCATGTGGGACCCTCCTCCGGTGGGCGGGAAGCAGCCGGGGATCGAACCGGCACCGCAGAGGCCTCAGGGAGCTTCGCAACCCAGCGCTCAACCACTGCGCCACCGGGGAGGCCCGCAAAAGTCTTATTAGAAACCACAAAATGTAAACAGAAAACATCAAGAAAATAGGGGGGGATAAAAAATGGAAAATAGTAAAATCCATAGAGGTAATAAAACACATGAAAAGAAATTCTCCGTATGTATAACTGAACACACTTTAAATAGAAGAAAAATTTCCTGCAATAAAAAGTCATCTATTGAAAAATAACCTAATGAATTTAAGAGAAAGAATTACATGGCCATCCAAAGAGAGATGAACTCATTTAGAATGGGGAGTGGGGGTTCAAGACCGTGTGATCTTACATTAATAGCAATCTTAAGACATTGCTGAAGCAAAAGGGCCCAAAGGTCCAGGAGAAATAAAGTGCCGAGGATTTTTATACCCAAAATTATCTATAAAAAACAAAGAATAGACATTCTCAAGTATGCGAGAACTTAAAAGTTTATCATCACTTGGGAAAAAAACTTATGGATCAAATTAAGAATCTAGGGAAAAGGCAGTCTAAAAGGAGTGGCTAACTCCTTTTAGAAAAGTGGCTAACTCATTTTAGAAATAATGGGAAATGACTATAATATTAAAATGAAATATTTAAACATTGTCATGAAGGAATTACAGGAAGTAAAGGAACTCTTAAGTGTGTTAGTTTTATCTTAACAGGAGTCATACTGTCTCCAATTAAAAACATGAAACTAGAAAAAAGACTCAAGCCTCTTGTTTTCTATAATTGCCTTTTAGTTTTAGGAGGAATCTTAGATTCTCTTGTAGAAAAGTTTTAAAGTTGAGCATTTCTTGCTTTTTTCCTTACATCCAAGTCAATTTATTACTTTAAAATTTAGCATACAAGCTAAATTTATATAACTATATAATTTATATAACTATATATTTATATAACATAAATTTATAATTGCCTTTTAGTTTTAGGAGGAATCTTAGATTCTCTTGTAGAAAAGTTTTAAAGTTGAGCATTTCTTGCTTTTTTCCTTACATCCAAGTCAATTTATTACTTTAAAATTTAGCATACAAGCTAAATTTATATAACTATATATTTATATAACAAATTTATATATGTCTACATGTTTAAGAGCAGTGGTTAGAATAAAGTTCACACCAAGTATTATTAGTATTTATTTCTAGTTTGATGGGGACTTCTGAGTGATTTCTATGCTTTTGTATAATGCTCTTTTTGAACACATTTAAATTATCCTTTACAAGGAAAAAAATGAGATGTTTGGAGTTTAAAGCTGCAGTAAGTTTACCAACATGTAGATTTTTGGAACTGTGAATCGGTAACCACTTCTCTAGATGGCAATCTGTAGGAGAAACTTTTGAACCTTTTTACTTTTTATCTAGCAAACCCATTTATAGGAATTCATCATAATGCAATAAATATACACAAAGTCTTATCCCATCATTTTGCATATATATTTTTATATAAGAGAAAAACTGGAAACAGCAAAATCTGTAGGGAATTGAACACATACATAGTACATACTAATTTAATTCATGTTCTTGAATAATCTTTAATGGCAAGGGAAAATGCTAACCTTTCCATGTCATTAAACATACAAAACATTTCAAAACAATATGATCGTGTGTGTGTGTGTGTGTGTGTTCTCTGCTTAAGATCTATTTTTCTTGGAACTCTCCTGCACTGTTGGTGGGAGTGCAAACTGGTCCAACCACTATGGAGAGCTGTGTGGAGATTTCTTGACCTACTAAACATAGAGCTTCCATATGATCCAGCAATTCCACTTTTTGGGGGGTAGGGGGCGGGAGGGGAGGGATTGGGGTCAGAATGGGGGGGTTGCAATTGTATGGGGAATATAAAAATAAAATTTATTATAAAAAAAAAAGAAGTAACAGATGGGATATTTGATTATTTGCTATCCACTTAATAAAAAAATGAACTATATGTGCAAAGAAAAATAGAAAAAGAAAATAGAGGGTATATTTTGTATTTGGAGTTTAGTTTTTTTTCTATTGATATGAATTTTGCATTGAAGTGATGGAACATTTATTACCAGACTTGTGATCTTAGGTTGATGATTAATGTGTATGGATATGCATGGCATTTTACTTCAGAAACAGGCAATAATTTAGGAAATGAAAAACTTGTGATTAAAAATTTTGCAAGCAAAAAAACAAAAAACAAAAAACAAAAAAAAGATCTATTTTTCTTTGTTGCACTTTTAATTTCTACAGTGGATTTTAATTCATAATTAAAACTTAAGTTTTTATATCTGAAAATTATAAAATTGACCTACTACTGTATAAATTGCTAAATAAGAGTGTTTTTCAACATAGAACAATTTTGCCAGTTACTGAACACTGGCAACTGCTGAAGAAGGAGTAAGTGAGATGTTGAAAATTATCATAATACCATCATACAAGTAAAACTTAGGTTACTGGGGTTTATTGTTATAAATACCTTTTACCCGGTGGTATATTACCTTCCATTAGGAAGGAAGGCTGCCTCAAGGCAGTCTCTTGTTACAGATTATTTTCCTTTTAATGAAAACTTCAAATATATACAAAAGTAAAATAAAATGAAAACTTGTACATGTCATCTGATCAGTTATCCAAGATTTGGAAGATGAAATAATAAAACTAACTTTAAATGAAAAGCTTGAAAGAAAAAAACAAAGACAATTTGAATGTTCCAAGTTATATTAACATAAAAGCATATGTTGGACCAAGAATCCAACATTAACAAATGAGCTAACTCTACTACTTAGGTTTCTGAGGGATAGTCAAGCTTTGACATGAAAAACAGTATGTACACCTGATCTTAATAAATACCTTTTCAGGACAGTAAACATGGCAAGAAAGCCCTCAACCTCCTGCAGATTTCTGGCATCTTCCATGTTGGAAAATAAGGGAAGAACCAATGTAGTTTCCTATTTAAATAACGTGTGAAAAAGTAAAACAAAGATAACACTGTCCTTAAAATACATTTGTATACTTATTTTGCACATTTGCACAAATCTATACCATCATTTAGCCTACAATTCCTGTCAAATCTCTGAGGAATTTAGAGAAAATGACCTTACCTGAGTTTATAGTACCAAAACAAAACCAACTAAAAATTATACCACCAACAACACAAGTTTGAAATCCAGCTACAATACTAAACTGCAAGTTTTACTGGTAAATATCAAATTGGCCAGTGTGTTTTTAGGCCATATTACAGAACTCAGACTGCACAGTCTGGCACATACTAATTCCTTGTAAATAAGAATTATCTTCCCTCTACTTGCCAGTATCAATCTCAGTTATTTAGAATTCTCCTTCAAAAGTGTCTGTTTTCAATTCTATTTCCTACGTTAAACACATTTTCAATCTTTGGAATTCACTGTTTTGCACCTCAGTTTTCTCAGTAAGAGATAACATCTGCTTCTATCAACTTCATATGAATATTGTGAAGATCCAAGAAAATAAAGGAAATGGAAAGATCCTTGGATTTCTAAAACTAAGTGATTTAGAGTGCTCCATTCACTGAGAGTAAAACAAATCACTGAACTGTTATATTTTCATCATCTGTAAACACCAGAAATTCAAATTTGACTCTTGTCAAAAAGATTTATTAACTTAAAATAGAATTACTTCAAATACAGACAAAAGCAACTTAATGTTCAAGTTTGAATATCTTCAATATACAAGTATGTAAAAGAAAAAAGTTCTGGATCTTCATGTTGTAGTTTTATTTTTTTAACCTTTTAAAAACTTTTTGGCACTACAAGGTTCT